TGTACTAGTATGGATGCATGTAAGGACTGAAACACCGAACACGACAACAGGACAGGGATGCATAATGTACGCCACGGTTGCTGTAACGACCTCTAGATGTGAATGTATGATTAAAGGTTTAAAGGAAATTTTGGTGGTGAATAAAAATAAGTAAAATAAAATAAAATAAATTTGAACTTAAAGGTTCTACAAAATGATATAATACCAAACAATATTTTGCTGAGTAGTGTCACTGCAACACTCCCCCTTCTATCACGTCAAAATGTTTGTAATCCCAAACTAGATTTACTTATTTTAATTTACAGATATTAAATTCTCATATTCTTTTATTTAAAATTAATAAAAAAACAAACAATATCTTACAATACTAATATACAATGATTAGTCAAAATAAAATATTGTTAAGTTTAATCGTATAGTGTTACACTGTTACTTACGTGTTCTCATACACTCTTAGAATTGTACTGAGTTTAATTCGTGTTCATTTCTTACTACTTTGTAATAAAATAAAATAATTCTATGGATTTAATTATATTTGTGTCGAGAAATGATACATTACTAAGAAATTTGATTGGATTTCTATGAAAATACAAAAACTGCATAATTTTTAATTTGATTAATAAATACCATTAACTTGATTACTAATCCATTATGTGCCCCCTCTCTCTTACTCGTCTCTCTCCGTTAATTTGTCAATGAATCTATTATTGCTTTTTAATATTAGGTTCATCACAACAATTTAAATTTATCAAATCAAAAAAAAATGAAATAAAGCAAGTTATAAAATATTATACAAAATACAGCCAACATGATACAATAAAAATGTTAAATAATCATGTCTACTTAAAAACCAAATCTAATCATTGCATTATCACAGAATTACACATTCATACTTTACATAGACTACAACATCAAAAAATGTTTTAGATTACAGTGAAAATATCATTGTTTTACTGTATAATTGTAAATCAATAGATTTGTTTCATTGTGCATTAATTGTACCAACATAAATCTGTGTGTATCCAAAATTGAAAAAATAATCTAATTTACTCCTATACCAATAAAAATTATAAAATATCTATTATAAATACAATTCATTATATACTGTACCTATCAAGCACGGATCCAGAGCAAAGATCTGGGGGTGGGGGGGGCACAATTTTTTGTCAATGTAAAATTACAATATTGGAATCACTGCCCACCATGAACTAAGATCATACTTATCTTAGTTTGTACTTTGTGCACCTCAGAATGATAGGTATAATAATATATTATTTTATCAGAAATACATGTAATTTAAAATATATAGTAATATCAGAATCTGTAGAATTATTTAAAAAACTTTGAGAAATAATATATCTGGGGGAGCCGGGCCCCTAGGCCCCCTGGATCCATCCCTTAACTACCTATGCACTATCATACAAATAAATAGTATTGAATAAAAAGTACTTAAATAGGTATTCAACTAGATATATCATTATCATTTGTATTTATAATAAGTATTTTTTTTAAATTTATGTCATGACAATTTGTGCACTTATTTATTCTTATTTTATAATAGTGATATTTGTTTTGTACGGTTTCAAATACACAATTTTCAAGTTATAGCATATTAAAAACTAAATGCGCAATATTTTAATATTATTTGGCATACCTAACAAGTTATTTATTTTTAAGTTTTTTTCCAGTGTTTAATATTGCATATTTGAGTTCAATAACTGTGAGGCAAATCAAATTCAGTGTTTAAAATAATAAATAATATAGAATCCTAACATCAGATTCAGTAATTCGTGCACAATACCCAGGTATCTATAAAATAGTTTGATATTATATTTCCAAGTACTATTCTTTGATCATGATGTAAAAACTATGAGTGATTCTGTGAATATGTACAAATTTGTTTTTCGACAAAAAATAGATAATAGGTTAATCGGTTAGTATACAAGGTACCCAAGACCTATATCAAAAACTATCAATATAAGCAAGCTATTATTTCGAATTAATAAAAATAGGCTTTGCATATATTTACAAATAAGATGTATTCTTCCAAAAATACCTTATTGGACAGACTAAGAATTTCAGAAAAAAATATACTTTCTATAAGTAAGGGCATAAGGCTGCATCTTAATATTTTATGATTTTACAATAGTAGCAGTTGTGGATAACAAATGTAAAAAGTGGCTGTTGTAACATTGTTTTTAAAACTAAAAACACTTGTTTCTGTGGCATACCAAATTTCTATATACATCAAATAGGTAAAATATAAAATATTTATAGATTCATTTGAAAACTATTTATATTTTGAGTATAAAATCTTCACTTTTAATCATGTTCGTATTCCATCAATTTGAAATATCCGTAGATGCTTACAAAATACAAATACTTTTTAGAAATACTTAAATATACAAAAAAATCTTACATTGACAATATGAGTACACATTATTTTACGGTAAATCAAAGCTCAGGATTGTTTTTAAATTTAATGATTCGTCATATACCTATAACCAAAATGTGTAGTTTTTCCATACTATTTTTAGCAATATGTTAACATGAGTACACTCCAATTCTTTGTGTACAGTACTTGTATCATCTAAGATAAAATAAACTTCAGAAATATCAATGTTTCAAAAATTGTTCTCATTTTAATAAAAAAAAAAAAAAAATGAAGAGGGAAACATCAAGACATACTTAGGTAAATACTTAATAGTAAATAAAGATAAAATAAAATCAATACAACGTGCATCAATGTAGTACCTCCCTTGAATTAATGTTGTTGGTTTATTTACAACTATTCTTATTGAGTTCTTCAAAGAAAAATTTTATTTTAAAAATAACATGTATAAAAATCTAAAACAAAGTACATTTTTATTTAAATTCAAGACACTACCTGGTTAGAATATTTACTAATTTTTTTGTAATTTTTTTTATAATTTTTGAATGTACATATAAATTATAATAGTATACGAATTAAAGTAATAATGTATTGAATATGTTATTTTTTAAGTCCATCGCATTATCACAATCGTTTAAACAGAAATAATAGAAATAAAATATAAACTAAGAATAAATGAAAATAATTACAATTCTTTAATCCTTTGTTAATAGTCTGACTATTTATATATTAAATTAATAAGATGATATTCTAATGATAAAAATAAAAATAATAATTAATATTAGTACAATAAATAGTAGGTACTTAAGCTATTTAGATATTTATAATTTCAATTCTGAATATTTTAATCAATTCACACTGATTTTTATTAATTTAAATTATTTAATGGAATTTAATTGCAATGATCTATCTACGAAATTACTAAATGTAAATATTACTATGAACATAATCTATCTACAAAATATCAATTATTTACAATTTACTAAATATCTATTGACTAGTTACTTACAGTTCATTATTTAGCTGGAGCACATAACTTAATGAACAGCATTTGTACAAATAAACTGTTACAGTCAAATATTATATTTATATATATTATTATTTATACAATTCCAGCACTTATTAGATTTCTTAAATATCTATAAACAACCTTAAAATACTTAATTAAACATTTTAAATATTATACTATATTGTATATTGTTATAAATTAATGAAAAACACTAATTAAATTATATAATAAAGAAAGTTCTCGAAGAAAAAAACGTGTAACAATATTATGTTTTTAACTTGTGACCCCAGGGCCTAGAACATAGTAAGTACCTATCAAACATTTTAAATGATACATAAATCAATAAGCCTCCAATTTCAAATGTAAATACGTTGTTGTGTTAATATATAGAATGAAAATTAATATGTTCTGTAAGAAACGTATGAAACGTTATTATAACCCGTGTAAGCAAATAAGTAATATAAAGGGATGATGTACATTATTATATCACAATAACGTCAAAAATTTAAATTATCACTTATAACTACCTTCGTCCTTAATATCTACTTACACGGTATATCTTCAATTTCATATTTCTAAGATATTCAATTTAAATCTTAACCATATCGTACACAAAGGATAATTAATTACAGATAAATGCCTTCGCTAAACATAAATGCAAAATATTATACATACGTCCAAAACAACTAACTGACATCAAAATCTCATGTTTTAAACAACCAACATAGTACGACATATTAAATGGATATCAAAATCTGAAAGAAACAATATCATCTACAGCATCGAAAATCTGTGTAGGTACTCAGTGTAGCAGAAAATATAGAAACAAATATTCATCCTACCATAATACCCCATGAGTGCTCGACATAATATTTCACTGCAGTATAGTTTCAATATTGAAAGTAATATTGTAGGCGAGTAATAGAAATTAATTCCAGCGCTTTAACTATCATTAATTTCTTGGTATAAGTATAATTAAAAACTGAAAATAAATAAATATTTCCATTTGTTAACTTTCGGGATATATTGTTACAAAGCTATTTCTTAAATAAAAAAAATGTTAGTTTAATTTGTTTTATTTTATTCATTACTATTTTCAAAATAAAAAGTTATTTAATAATACAAAATGTACTTGAAAAAGAATAAATTAACGTTTTAAATAACAAAATAAATGCGCATATACCTAGTACTTACCATACCTATCTTATTTATCCATGAGTATTTTTTAATTCAACACTAAGCTATTTTACTTTATTTTAACTTCAGTTCTATATTTATCTCACGTTAAAATAAGATATTTTATTATTTATTTTCTTACTGTCCAAGCATTCAAAATATCAACAAAAATTGCAATTAAATTCAAAGCTATATTAGTTTTAATTACATAAATTATTATTCATATCTATAAATTTTACATAAATATATTATATTATACCTATTACCTAGGTATATAATTTCTTATCATATAAGTATTACACTTAATAATGCTATACCTGGTAATTAGGTTTTGTATAATTTTATATTAACAGACATTATTATTAACCACTTTATTTTATTTTATTATAATTAATAATTAGTATATAATACATTATTACTTACTCTCAAAATTCTGTAAGGGCTATCTGTCAACAAACATACGTCACCGTCAACGGTAGAACTCTGACGAAAAATGAGTGGTGTAAGACAAAGTTTTTCACTCGACGACAACATCCGGCCTGTGCCGCCAACTTTACTCCCGTGTATTCTTCTCATTTGAATCAATTGCCACAGACGATGCTTCTACAATGAAAATTGAAAATAAAGCTTAAAAAGAATATTAACCATAAATAAAATATTGTTATAGAACAACCAATCCATAACGTGACATAAGCTTATTATAAAACAACAATATAATATCGATACGTTATATTATGTTTAACCCTTTTTCGAAAACTTAATAGTTTGTAAAATGTTGTGTGTCAATATGATATTACTTATTAAAATACAGAAGATATAAACGATGTTACGTTTATTTTTAATGTCTCCGTCATTAGAGAATAAAAATGTAAATACCTCATATACATTGACTTCAAAAGTTTTGATTATTGTAAACGTTAAAAATTGTTGGTATAATATGTATACATTCAATTTAATATTAATTTTAATGTCATATTTCGTTTTGACGACTCAAACCACAAGAAAAGCGACAAAAAAAACCAAAATATTTATATTTATCTTTTTAATATTTTATTATTTAAGTATATTTTACTATTACTCGTAAATAATTAACTATAATTCAGTTTAAAATGTATTTTAACACTAATAAGCCTGTACGTGTTAATAATAAGCAAGGGAAATATTTTGATTTTCTTCGGAAGATTAAGTTAAAGCAGTATAATGTGTCATAAAAATAATCAAATAATTATTGCCGAAATGTTAAAAACTTTATTGCCCGTATTCAAATTTTCAATACCTTACCTACGATTTAATAAAAATCAATTAAGAAAAAATAGTGAAATTAAGATAGAATTTTCCAAGTTGAGAATAATTCTCAACGTTAAATAATATGATAAATAATAATAGTTATATTGTTATTAAAATTGTTTACCTATTATAAGAAAATTTCATAACTTTAAATTAAATTTAAGTACCTAAGTAATAACCCACACAAAAAAGGCATTCACCTGCAACAAAGGGATTCGCTTTGATTTTTTAGTTATCCAATAATTAGGTAGTTTTTTGTGAAGAAACTTCAAATATATCAATAAAGCATATTACCTATTCATCATTTTTGTCTGTTTGGATATTTTATCGGAACATTCTATTAAAAAATTATCTACTATTCTACTATATTCAATACATTCAGACACGTCACTAAGGGATCTCCCTCTGATCTGGCCACTTCAATTTTATTCTTAAATATTATAAATATTTGTCTCAATTTGAGATAACACAGTAACACGTCCAATAATAGATTAAAAACTGGAAAACACTATTTAAGAGGATACTACACCCGCATGTATTGTTTCCGTCTTACAAACATACAACATAGCAAAAACTGTTTTGTGCGGTATAGAACCACTCAGTCCGTAGTGATAGTTAAAACTCCAAATTGATGTACAATATTGTTGAGAACATATCTGAGAAATATCTTTTTATTTTTTGATATCACTTATACAAAAAAAGGTCTAATTGTTTCAAAATCCATTATATTTGTGTTTTTCAATCTCAAATAATATTTTTTTTTTAGTTCCTCTAAAAAAAAATTAAAACGAAATTTCACAGCCAATGTTCTCTTTTTCATGTGGTGAAGTTACACTGTTACTGATGAACAGTTTATGCTGTCTTACATTCTTAAGAATGTAGTATTTTTTAAAGATCTTGTTCGATAAAGAGAGGGATGTAGGAAGCACAAAAGCAGGGGGGCCAAAAAATGTTGGCCCCCTTATAGAAAAATGTATGGTTACGTGCCTGAATATCTTTTTAAAATTTTTACTCAATTTTTTTTACAACTTAAAATTTAAAAATAATAGGTAAAGCTGAACCGTTATAGATTGATGCCTGATCAGAATCTATTATTTCACATACCCACGGACTATGATAATTTATTATTGATTTCAAAATGATGCATAATGTGTGATATATTAATAAACAACACATATTTGTTAATCTTGCATCGTTTAAAAATATCTTCTTAGTTCTTAGTACAAAAAAAACATGTATTTTATCACAAAGAAGTTCAAAATTAAACCTATATAAAAAGTGTTTGTACACTTTTACCTTTCAAAATATAAAAAAATCTTGCCATGGTGGTTCTGCATTATACTTTAATATATAAGTACCTACAATATATTAAACGTCAGAAACATTTTTAGTGTAAATATTAAACAGGAATCACAAAGTAAAAATATTTGAAAACATTCCACATTTCCAGCATTATTCTGAATTGATATATTTAATTTATTTATAACTAATATAGAAAATATAAATTATTGTGAAAAATATAAAATTTCTACACCTTATTTAGTTTTATTATGGATGTCTATATATGGAGTATAATTATTAATTTCGTTTAAGTATTAATTTTCAACATTATTAATATAAAAAATGACAAATTTTTACAATTTTTGGAAATAAGAAATGTGCTAAAAAAAATATACTGTAAAATAACTTGTCTTAAACATATGATCATATAATTTGAAAATCTATAGAGTCAAAGAGTGCCAATAATTTATAAATACAACTCGTTATAAATCTAATAGAGCAACACAAAATCTTAACTAAATAATGTTTAATACAATCATCGTATAGTAAAAAAATAATAATAATGTTACAAGAATACAATAATGGACGTGATTATTAAAAAATTATTGAATTCAATTTAAATAATAATAATAAATCAACAACGCATATTTATTTGAAATATAATCAATGTTTTATACGTACATTTTCTTAGTAAATTGTATTCAAAACTTGCATGTCCCTAATCAGAATGACATAATATGAATCACTCTTGGGAAATCACGATTTAAGCCACTTATTTCAATGAGAATTTTTAGGCACTTATAAGTATATTAGAAAATAATGTATAAATTAATCTTACATTAGTCTCCAAGTTTTATTTTTTGTCTAATATCTAATTTTATCAAAATTGTTACTTCAAATAACTATAAAAATTAAATTGTGACTATGCATTTGAGTAATTTTTAAATTACTTTAAATACCTAGTGTCTTTTACCAAACCGAGCAATAAATATTTAAGCTTTTTGATCGAGTATTAAAATTAACTTAAATTGTCATATGCGTTCATTGAAAAACAAAAAATATTTAAATTGCTAAAAGTAGAAAAAAATTCCAAAATATTATCGTGTCTAGAAAATAACAATATAAATAATTAAATGAAAATGTTAAGTACCTACCTATCGATGCTTATTAAGTATATTCGAATTACAACAAAAAAAAAAAACAAAATTCTTCAGAAATTTTCTGCTTTTGAACTCTCATTGGTTTTAATTATGTGGTGTATTGGCGTATTGCATATTAAGCTCATGATTTTTCTCTAAATAACTAAATAAATAAAAATGATCGTATGCTCAAAAACTAGTTTAAAATATTTGTTTTAGTATAGTTTCTAAAATTATTTTTAAAAGTACTTCAAAATGTTGAATTTTGCCCCCCTCCCCAAAAAAAAAAAAAAATTATAATTATAATTATAACTACATCTAAATTGATACTATCTTCAAAATTAAAGATTGATGCATTTTTACTGATCTAAAAGATGAAACACACATATTGATGTACAAAAATTATAATTGTCTATTTATATAAAGAACCAGCTATGATGATGCTCAATTTCGAGGAAATTTATTATTCCAATAAATTTACGGGAATCACACAGAAACTACCGAAAAAAATACAGTTTAATTACGCATCGCATGATACTAATTAACGGTGAATTTCATTTAAATATTCAAGTTTGTCGCTCTCCTGTACAGTAGGTTACAAGTGGGTCACTGTAATGGATAGTGTTAAATTTGAATTCAATGAAACAAAATCATTGTATATATTTGTAAAAAGATTCTGAACAAAGACGGTCTGTCAGCCTATGCCCTATAATATTACTTAGGATATATCATGATATTATTGTGATTGAAGTTATTTATTTTACTATTAGGCATAAGTACTAGGTATAGTAGTTAATATTCATTTTTGCCAAAAAAATTACATTTGAAAAGTCATTTTATGTAAAAAATAAAACAATATATTCTAAAAGTTTTTTTTATTACCCACTGAATAATATTTTTAAATTATAACAAAATGCGTATAGTTGTATAGTAGTATAATATGGCCAATGTATTCACAGCATCATAAAAATATAACATATTAATTCACCTGCAGCAATTATAGCTATTTCGCATTAACTAATGTGACTCAGCGGCGTATTTACGGAGGGGAGATTTGGGGAACCAATCCCCCCTCCCCCTTGGTCTTTTTTTCTATTATTAAAGAATTTACCTACATATACCTAGACACTAGATCGTGTTTAATATTTACTATCTTAGTGTATTTTTCATTTTTGTAAATAAAGTAGAAAAAAAAATCAGTTATAAGGTTATTAACAGCCTGTTATTACGCCACTGAAACCGCTATGTCGTAGCTAGTGTGGCAAGTTCGAGCGATTTTGTCCGATTCCTATTCTATTGTACCTGTATGAGGGCCGCACTAGATGCCCTAGCAGGTGTATGACTCATTAGTCATTAGTTATTACCACGATTAAAGATATCGTGGTTATTACTTATTAGTTATTACTGTATACTGTACTTATAACTGTACAGTTGTAACTTTGTAATATAAAAACAAGATATTTTTAGACTAAACTGAAATGTTTATTATATTATTATGGAATGGTCAGATGGTCTAATATATAAAATATATTCCACGTAATCAGGCTATCGGCATTCTTATTTGTTTGGAAAAACAACATTCGTATTCGTAGGCTAAACACGAGCGGATTGTAATTGTTGCGTAATGTGTAATTTTGATCTTCGGTGTTAAACTGCTGGTTTTAATTTGAATTGAAACGAAACACACTAGATTCTTTTTTTAAGCCACAACAAAAAAAGACAAAATATATTCATGTGGAAAATGAAGATGTAAGTAAAAGAAAGTCGATAATATTTAATTTATTTAAATTATTTCGTTTTTAAATTAAATTAAATTTAAATTAATGAACAGTACTTATTCATATTGTTAAATGTTCTAATTTATAATAATTTTAGAAAAAAAAATATATTTATGATACTATTATTTTTGTACTAAATTTATTTTTGTATTATTGGACATTGGTGTTGAATGTTGATAGTAAGATGGTAATTATTAATAAGTTTAATCTCAAAGAATATTTTTTGAATGTAAATTAAAAATGAAATTTATTTTAGATTTAATTAATAATAATCAATATGTTATTGTTATTAACTAAAAATAATGAATAATTGGTATTCAGTGTAGAATATAATATGTATAAAATATGGTGTGTAAAGTGTAAACTGAAGAGTTTTTAGTGATCAAGTTTTGGAAACGTGAAGGGATGTAGGTGGCAAAGCCCTCCAATTGTATGTGTGACATACAATGGTTCATGCCCTCCCTATAACAATTCTTAAACACGCCGCTGAATGTGACAAATCGTCACCGACAATATTATAACAATTGAACTGATCCTGCTCGCAGAACAGATTACATAATATGAATACAAATTCTAAAAACCAGTAGCCATTGTAGCTCAACAGTATAAAATAATAACAATAAAATAACATTTTTTGACAGTATTCGCATAACCAGCGCGGCGGCCGGTAACGTGACTTGTGTATTATCTTCATATTATAATAGATATAGGCGTATAACTTATAGTCAGTTTGATGACACAAAATAATTACAAAATAAAACAATTTAAACACTATAGATATATATTACCTACATCTATATGGCTAATGGCTATGTATGATCATATTATATTGTGAGTGCGACCCAAGATCTATAAAGAACTAAAACAAGTCTTCTTTGTAGATCTTGTGTGGGACCAGGTACATACTCTCATGTTGATTTTAAAATTGTTATTATTCTGAATACTTTATTTCGTTGAGGTTCCAATCATATAATCATTAATTTTATATTTATGTATAAATGTTAAATATAATAAAGGATGTTTGTTAATACATTTTGTCCAACTTAGTTTTTGAACATTATCATAGATAAAAAAAATATATCTATATTTTTATATTTTGGCAATGCTTTTTGTGTTATGTAAAATCGTCAAATAAGCCACTCATTTATGATTTAATTCAAACATTTTATTAAATCGTAAAGTATTGAAAATTTGAATGCGGACAATCAAGTGTTTAACATTTCGGCAATAATTATTTAATTATTTTTATGACACATTATGCTACTTCAACTTACCTTCGAAGAAAAATAACATATTTTCCTTACTTATTATTAACAAGGATAGGACTATAAGTGTTAAAATACACCTTGAACTGAATTATAGTTAATTATTTACAAGTTATAGCAAAATATACTTTAATAATCAAATATTAAAAAGATAAATATAAATATTTTGGTTTTTTTATCGCTTTCCTTGCAGTTTGAGTTGGTAAAAGCAGTTATAACTTATAAGACAGCCCAAATGGTATGAGTCATACGTACAGGCCCACCCAATTAACATAAACCTGGCCTTCTTATAATCTCTAGTAGGTACAGTTTAGAATTATCAACAAAATAATTAAGTAGCTATAATTAATAGGTAGATACTGTGAATTTTTTTATTAGAATTTTAAAAGATTATTATACAGGGATAACTGCAGTGCTATTAAATCGGATTATTATTGATTTACCATTAAAGTCGTGTAACTTATTACGAATGAGTTCTGAATTTTTTTATAAATTGGAATCTATATTATATATATAATATAATATAATTAAAGATAGTTAATATAAATATTAAATATATACATAATATATTATCAAATAGCACTTGAGATTTTAAAATTGTATTTGAACTAGGATCTAAATCTTTAGATATAATAATATAAATAATATGTTAAACAATTCACACATGTTTTTAGAGAGTTTCCTAAAATTTAGATTTGGAGTACTTTTATGTAAATTATTTACAATCTATTAAAATAAATAATAATGTTATTATTTTAAATTTTACCCCAGGTATAGTATCATCATTTCGTTGAACGTTCTTGCTACTGCCAATTACCCATGACATCCACCTGATACCACCATCTCTTGCCGGTTCTTCTTTCATATTGCTGTACAAATATACGATTATCACTTTAATAAAATTGTGGTATTGGAAATGGAGTATTGTTGTGCAATGACCAATAATGGTTAATGCATTTTAAGTTTTTCTGGAATATAATAATATTGAAAACTTGTACTTCAAAAAAAATGATTTTTATACGTATTTGGTACAATTGTAATTAAATTATTAAGTGTACCTATAATGAATACATGAATTTAAAAAAAATTTGCTTGACTTTATATTCTCAGACCTTTATCTAAGAACTCTAAATGAACTCAGTCAAAACTCTGGTGAACAGAGGTGGTGAACATACAAACAGAGATCAAGAAACAACACTGTATACTGAAGCGGTATAAAAACGCATTTTAGAAAATTGCTTCACCCTCGATATTTCCACAATCGATTCAATGAGCATTTTTAGGCGTTCCTTGTTTTTCATAGAATAATTGCACTTACACATACAATATACACTCTCACGTTTATAGTAGATGTGTATCTATACACACACAAATATATACACGTTAAAATTAATATAGTGAATAATAAAAATAATATATATACATTATACATATATACCTACACGTTATAGTGTTATACACGCATAAATGCAACAATTGTCCATTGATAATAATTATTAGAGTCTACATTATAGGGACCTATTTGCATGTAAACGTTAACGGCAATAACATAAATATTATGTTAAACATATAGGTATTACACCATTAAAATTATAAGTACCTACTACCTATCTAATTATAATAAAGTACCTATACGGCTATATTGTATAATTTGTAGTCAATATTTGCATGGTTATAATTTAGTAAACAATACAAGTATTACCTACTTATATTTTATAAGCTAATGCTTATTTTATGTTTTTTAATTGTTTTTATACTATATATTCTCAGTCATAGGTATGTGCAAAAAGATGTAGACACCGAGTGTGCCTGCTCACCTCCTAAAATTTCGCAAATGGGACCCAAAAAGTTAGGGCACTGTCTAAGGGCTGTTGTTTTTTAATTTTACCTGTTATTTCTACAAAAAATCCAAATTTTTCTAAAAAATGAACAATATATTACTCCACATTATTATATAACTTAAAGTAAGAACGTAACATTTTTTTTACATTTGCGTGTATAAACCATCGTTTATAATAGAAGCAGGTACTATGACCCAGAACCGTTCGAAATCATTAAGTATAATAATAGGTATGTAGAACAGTAAATCAAACGATCTAATGTTGATACGGAATTAATAATTAAATAATTCGATGGTTTAAGTAATATGCGTCAATCATTATGTACCGATACATTTTTATCACGTATTATGGTTACTATTATTTTTTTTATTATTAATTATCCGGCAACATAGGCCATTGGGTGTTATTAGCAACTGTCAGGAGTTACGAGGTAGAGTTGGTATGGTTATTGGAAACTCGTGTACGTGTGGAAAGGTTTTGACCACTAAGAACCCTGGTGGTCACCCATCTGGGAACTAGTGGCAGTGGACGGTTTCGTACTCTCAATCACGTTGCGTGACTGACCTCAGCAACCACGCCACGCCAATGTACATTATGATTATTATTTGTATCAGTATATAGGTACTGATAAATTAATAATAATATGCATTGTACAAAAATAAAATAAATTATGTATTTGTATTAACATTTTTATTTATACACTCATACACGTAATAGTTTATGGACATTGCTTGTCTTTGTAGGAGAGTGCCCAAGCCCCAAATAAAGGAGGCCCAAAACTACTGTAAGAACCACAATAATCCTCACAAAAATGTTCACAATGTGAAATAAAATCATCTGAAATATTAATCAATGCATTTAAAACAAGGAAACAAAAAATTCATAAATCTAACCAAAGTCGCCATTAATCAAACATAAAAAACCTGCAATTAAACATACGAATTTTTAAAAAACTCATTAGTCATTACTCATTACCTTTATTAAAACATTATGTTCATAGGTCAGAATTTAGAAATATAAATATTGTACCCGAATTTGCTTTTATTGATTTTTAAATATCTTTATATTAATATTAAAAAAATAATCAGTGAGAATTTCCACTTTAGTATAGATATAGATATTTTTAGATATTGTATAATTAAATAATCGAAATTATTTTTATAAAAAAAAAACAGATGTGCCGTATAAAAGTTATTGTATTATAGTTTTTGTTTTAAAACTATTTAATATGAAAACACTAGCATAAATTAAGTTTCAAAATACATCAAACAATTTACTTTTTAAAGTTCTCGCTAGATACAATTTTCCAAGTAAAATGATTATGCTATATAATATTATATACATAAACAGAGCTATAATCCACATTAAAGTTACGGAGCAATAATTTTTCCAAAAAAAATTAACATAATTCACAATATAGAAATAAAAAAATTGTGGGCAAGTAGGTAACTTTTTTGCTGCACAGTGGGTGTCGAGACTGAAGGGTATCTCATCATTGATTAGTTTACTGTAATGGGTATTGTGTTCAATTTGAATTCAAGAGACAATCTGACAGTCTAGTTTATTTCTAAATGTTTATTTTATAATATATTTATATTGCTATTAAGAATAGTGATTGATATGGTTGATTGAGTTACTTTTTACGAAAAGATTGCATTTATTTTATTATTAATATTTAATTAATAGAAAATGTTTAGGTATATGATATATTATTATTGTTATTACATTTTTAGTCAATACCAATCTACCATATAATGGTGTTAATACGAAGGCTCAATGTTCATGGTATGAATAAGCAATAACTTAAAAGTTAAAATTAATCTAAATATTTTTTAAATGTCATTGTATGTAAAATCGATATAAATAAAAAATTTGTTGAATGTCTGAAAGATCATTAATTGAGAACGGTGTATCGAGTTGGCTGAATTTTTTTGTTTTGTTATGTTAGTAATTGTTAGGACATTAATGTTTGTATGAAAGAAAATGTTAAACAAATCCATCGGAAAAGACCGAAATCTGGATGGTGAAAAATTAATAGTGGTGATGCCATGTGCCCAGCAAAACAAAATAAAATTCTACCTACTTAACTTAACGCCTTTGTAATTTGTATACTTTTTCGCAAAATGACAAAGCGTATAAACTTAACATTTGGAATTGTGGTTCTTTTAATGCTCTAGTTAGTAGATATGCAATGAGAAAATATTATTAAGAAGTACTCATGTTTTCAAGATGTGCCCATAGGTACAAATACTTTAATTCGGCAAACGGAAATGGAATATTATTTTTATTATTATAAATGGGAGCTCCTGGTGGTCTGACCTATTGGAACTCTCCATTGGCCAGATTGGCAGAGTACAATTTCGTGGGGTTTACCTTTTTTGTGTAAACGATTGCCCGCAGCGCCGGAATAAACAAAGAACATGATTTTGGCTCTTTAATAAGGCCTATGACTGTGAGTAAAATTAAAAGCAATGATGCCAAATTGTGTATACAAATTTCAGTTACTATACAATTATTTTAAATTTTTAAATACATGTATTAGTCTTAATTACAAATACATCCATATTGAAAATAAATAATGCACTATAAATTATGAATTATTAAACAATTTTCAAGCGTAGTATTCCTTACTTATAATTGCATTTAATAAATTGTTAATTAAACTTTTTTTCAAGAGAATACATATAGATAGGCCCTAGGCTCCTAGGTATTTGAAATTGAGAGGTGGTCACAATAAAATATGTATTGGCGTCCCACATAGGAACGGATATATCGAGATATTCGAGATAAAAGTAGTTAACTTGATGATTATTTATTGGTAATGAATAATAATTTTATCATTAATGATATTTCTAATAGATTACCAATTGGCTAATAACAATTGTAAAGATTAAGCTGTGGACTGCGCCTACCTAGGTGGCTAAATTGCACTTACGGCATGTCAGTAGCTCATCGTCCTGATATACTGCTTGCATATTATCCGCAAATCCGCAATATATCTACCTATATAAGTTGACTAAGTTGCACGTAAATCGATTTTCACTTGAGTTTAGTACTTGCTAAACACCCAAACACGGTTTTCGACTTAACACTTCTTACATTAAAAAAATTCAAGCGATATACGAAGTCACAAAACACCCAATCCACCGTAAAAATATGGCGTATGTATTTTTTAACAAATATATTTTTTTTCAACTAATATTTGGCACGCGCATCGCAGACCAGCGTTGGGCGGGACAACAAGTATAATAATAAACATAAATATTTGAAGACCCCCACGAATAATATTTTCTATGTTGCTACAAAATAACAAAAATCGTTACCTGTTCTTTGTTTATATGGTATATAATTTCGTCATAATTTAAACTTCAAATGTCTATTAAGAAAATTATGATTATTGGATTTAAAAGTGTTGGGATTCTGCGAAAAATACTTATGAAGAACTTATTGGATTACATTTTCAAGCTAGTTGACCAATCCTCAAAAAAATATCGAAAAAGGACAAGAAATTAAAAATATACCATGCCTATAGGTAAATATCTTAAAAAATATATAAATATTTTGAATATTTCATAAAGAGGACACCACATGAGAATTTGTAGCCATCATATTACAAACAAAATTTACAGTTTAAAAATGGTCATAACTAACTTAACAATAATATCAATAAAATCTTCCGAGATGCCCTTTATAATATTCGCGCCTTTGAATTTATAAGAGGTAAATTCACTCCATTTTTTTAAATTACAAAGTAAAATAAAATGTATTAAATTATTAACTTAAAATTTGCCATGTTGTACGTTTGTAAGACGGACACGATAAATGATCGATTGTTATCCTCTTCTATCTATAGAAAATAATAGTTTAAATAAGTAACAGTATATTGTTTCAAATTTCTACAGTCAATATTTTTTGAATAATAACAAAATAACAATTAAAATCAATTAATATAATATATTATGTTAACGATTATTATTATATTAAATCATTATTACAAAAAAATAGCTCAAAAAAAGTTATTGCGACTTTGCACTTAACGTTTTTAATTCTTATATTGACAACTCAGGAGGGACACATTATTATATTTTCAATTTTTTTGACCAAGCATACATTTTTTTTATTGATATTTCTAGAAAAAAATTTAAAATATCAAAAATGTCAAACGCTATAAATAGCTCATAAAAAGTCAAACCATTTTTAAAATGATATCATGTAAGTATAGAAAATATTAGTACAAACATTTGATGAAAATGTCAAATAACTATAATCATATCCACGATCATTGGTTTATACAAAATCACAAAAAAATTAAAAAAATGATTTTATCGAAAACTTGTGTTATAACTTATAACTTATAAGTTATAATACATGTATAGTTACTTAGTAAGTTGCAAGTATTCAAATACATATTATACAATTGTTAATATCAGTATAGGTACCAATTGGAAACTATTTATAGTTAACAAATAGTTCGGTTTTCTTTCAAATAAGAAAAAAGTAAAAATTACATATTTTCAATTTTTTAAAGCGCCATTTTGCATGAAGACTTACGTTTGATTTTATTATTTCCAGACGAGATCGTTTAATAAACAAAAAGAAACCTATTAAATTCACAATTGAGATATCACTATGTAGTGTATATAAGTTACTCATATTAAACATGTACCACGAATTAATGAATAAATATATGCTCAACCAATAAAAACACTAAGAATTCTATATTATACTGAAAATAAAATGTTCGAAATTCAGTAATACATATATATTTTAGACAATTACACCAAATACCAATTAACTACAAATTTTTTTATGTTGTAAATTTTAATGTAAATTTTAAATTGAAAAATTCTCCATCTTCAAAAATTTCAGCCTATATTATTTTTGCCCGATAGTATTTTAACCAACAAATATTTTAAAAGACATTATTTAAGCCGACAATATTTTAGCAAACAAATATTTCGGCCGACAATATTATAGAAGAAATTTTTTTAGCACACAGCTAAAATACGTTTCAGCCAAAATATTTTTCGGATGAAATACTGTCATTTAAATTATTTTCGGCTGAAATATTAACCTAATAAAACTATACTTTTGCCTTTTCTGCCAAATGCCAATACCGTACGATTTACTTTTCAACAATATCTTACGACTTTTAAAATTATTACAGTAGTTTGAATAACGTTATGTATACAAAACTATTATTTTCTATAAATTACTTCATCATTATAAATTTAAAGGGCAAACGGAAAAATAATTAACATATTTTCAAAACAATATTTAATTTTGACGAATTTTGTTAAAATTGAACTTGCCTAAGTATGCTTGAAAAGCAAAGGGATTACTTATATATTATATTTTTAACATTTATTCATTGTGAAATATTGTTGCAACTCTTAGACTGAATTAAAACCTTTATTGGGGCTCTAAGGTCTGCGATACTTTATTGATTTATTATTGCTGGCCCAAATCCCAATCGATGAGAAACAAAAATTATTCCTTTTCTTATACCTGTTTGAACACTATAATATAATGTACTATTTTATATTGCTGTATTAGTGCACATTATATTGCCACATAATATATTTATAATGTTACTTATACTGGTTACTTTTAAGAAGACCATAACCGCGTGCGTTGTCTCCATCTTACAAATGCATAACATACCAAATTGTACGTTCTCAATAATTCATTTAACTTTGTTGTATTCAATTTTAGAGTGAATTGACCTATTGCCAAATTTAGAAGTAAGAATATAATCTAGTCAGTAGTCGGTGACATAGGTTTTTTTATACTTCAATTTTAAAGCGAGTTATGACCTTAAAATGTACAAACAATTTATTATTTAAGAGATAATATTGCCATTTATCAAATATACATAATAATATGTCAATTTAATAATAATAAAATGACAAACCACCTCTGTCATCGTCGACTTTTTAGTCTCTAGTCTCTGTCATACCTATTCCACAGTAGACTACTGGTAGAAGGAAAAAAAAACCATGAAAACAAAAACCAAATTTTTATATTTTGTTATTGTGTTATATTTTATTAAACATTAGTTTTAATTTTCTAATTAAAACTTTAGATAAATAATTAACTGACCAGATGTCTTGTAACAACAAGTATACTCTCGTAACCTGCAAATTCGTAAATTTTGAATAATTAAAAATATATTCTTTTAACTATTTTATATACTATATATTTCCGGTTTCAGGAGTAGTTTTTGCGTATTGCCAAAAGTTTAGTTTCTATTTTGTTGGTGTGTGTGTGACATTAAAAACGTATTAACTACCATTCTATACAATAAGATATACAAAACTTTTTTTGACTAACCAAATTTTTTATTATTTTTACTTTATTCAACCAACCAAATGTATTCAACCATTTAAATTATTATATATTTTGATATGTCCTGTACTTAATGTATATCTTATCATTTATTAATTTCATAGTACAAGTAAACCTACGTTATGATATCTGTAAACTTATTTGATGGTGAGTATAAGATCGTATTGTAGGTACCTATCACATGACAATTGACATTCATCAATGTATTATAAATACTGTATATATTTTTATGAATAACTGATAAGTCCACTGAGGTTTTCAAATAATGATTATGATTTAAGTTTGTAGTTATATATTTCACTGCATTAGGTACTGCAACAAAATTTATTCCTACGTATTTTATTTTTTCACCCTTATGAAATGGTTTAAAGTTAAGTCGGAAACAAATCAGGGCTTACTTGTAGTGAACAATTATATTCACAGAATATACCGGAAACCCGGAGACAACGAATATTATAATTGTGTGGATAATTACGACAATATTTAAACATTTAAAAGTTGTAGTTATGTCCAAGTCACATAATCACGGAACACATGGTCTTAAATTTGTAGAACGAGATTTCCAAAATAAATTAAAGGTAAATAATTATATTAAACATTATCATATAAAGCATATTATTCATATTTTTAAAAATAATTACAGGCAGTAAATGGATTTTCATTGATTATACTTCAATAAATAATATTATTACACATTTTTACTTTGCATATTTTGGAAATATATTTTGACAAAACTACTCTAATTGAGTATAAAACTACTCTAATTGAGTATATTGATACCATAAAATATCATCTTTATTTTAAATTTTTAACTGAACTGTATTTCATTAAATTGGATGTTGTCAAATTGAATGTCGGTGAACTGAGAATAGGTACATAGAAGATACCTGCCACCTGGGGAGTGGGATTATTAATCTATATACCACTTAAAATTGTATATCAAAAAGACAAGGTTTCATAAAAATAACCGCGTTCCTTTATGAATGTAAAATTCTGTTCATTGGTGTAATGTATAATTAATTAATATACATCATCTTCCATATTCATATAAAACACTAAACCAAATAATAATAGGTAGGTACCAAGAAAAATATTATGATTTTTTAGTTATGAACGCACAGTTTAAGTATTTAAATACTAGTGTTTGTGAGTGTTGATTTAATTTTTAATTAATTTCTTATTACAATTATAGTTGAGTAAACTATCATAGATACTGGATAGTACTATAAAAACAAAAGAAAAAAAGATTTTAATATAACTATAACGGATTTATATGATTTGTTATATATGTTACGGGCAAAGTGGAAAATTTGTGCAATGTATACAATGTCCGGGCATTGTACACAGTGACCGGGCATTGTATACAATGTCCGAGGTATATTGGGCAATGTAAATTGTGAAGTATTTATACAAATAATCTGCATAATATATTTTGTTAGATGATAATGATAAACTAATATGAATTTATAATCGACATCTGATTGTGCTTGCATGTCGATCAAGTCAATTTGACAGCGAGAATTCATTTCAGAAGATATGATTGGTTTTACAACCAACCCTTTTTTAGCTGTACTTCCCTTCTTTTTACACGATTCGCAATTATTTAAGTATAACATTATTACATCTCTAGTTATATTTTTGTACTTTTTATTAATCTCGTGTTCCATTCTATTTCTACCTCCATGTCCAATTGACAAATGAACTTCATGTATAATATCATATAACTGAACATTATGCACATAATATTTTATTGCATTAGGTACCTTTAAATACATTTAAAATTTAATTAATTAAAATAAAATTCTAATACTCTTATATAAATAACCATATAAACGAGTATAATAATTATTAGTATATAATATCATTGATTAGGTAAAATAATATTATGCAGATTATTTGTATAAATACTTCACAATTTACATTGCCCAATATACCCCGGACATTGTATACAATGCCCTGTCACTGTGTAAAATGCCCGGGCATTGTATACATTGCCCGAATTTTCCACTTTGCCCGTAACATATATATGTTTCAGGCTCGTATTTATTTTATTTATTTTCATTATTACGCCCAAGATGATCAAAGTTACAGAATATACTCAATTAATTGATAAAGAACATATTGAACATTGTGAATCATAAAAAAATCAAAATTTGAAAATGTGTTACAAAACATACACATACTGTTTAATGGGCTATAGAAACTGTAATTCTGACGGTAGCAGTCGTATGAAATAACAAAATAGCGATTACTGGAGTTGAATGTAGGTACCTACCTTAAATTTAATTTTAGATACCTAATAGATCGTGACAATTAATTTGATTATTAATAAGTTTATATATTTATATATATATATATAATTATTAATTATTAATTATAACATCATTAAATAATCGGCGTTTAAATAATGGATCAAGACCACACTGTTTAGCAACGATAGAAAGATCGTTAATTGGTAATTTTAATTTAGGTGCTAAGAATTTTAGAAAGCGATTTTTAATACTTTCAAGTTTATTTACCCAAATACCAGTAATGGGTTCCATACTACGGCTCAGTATTCTAGAATGGAACGTACTAATGAACAATAAAACACTTTAATACAAGTGGGATTGTTGAATTCAAAAGTATGCGTCTATTGAAACATAAAACTTTTAACACTTTTTTATAAATTTTGTCCGATTGTAATTTAAGCGATAAGTCACTAGACAGCCAAACACCTAAGTCTCTTACAAAAGAAACTAAATTCAAGGATACATTATGTATCTTATTATGACTAAATTGTATTGGATTACAACGATGTGAGAAAGATATTTGTTATTAACATTTATATTTAACTTGTTCATTTAGCACAGACCTTCCTGTAACTCTAAAACAATTATTAGGTGTATTAATTGAATTATATAATTTTAAATCATCAACAAACAGCAGAAATATGGAATATTTAAAAATTTTATCAAATAATAAAAATAGTAGTGGGGATAAGTGACCTCTTTTAGATTCACACCAGAGAATTAGTATCAGATAGAATATTATTAATTTTTACCTTTTGTCGTCTACTAGATATGTAGGACTTAAACCAAGTTAATACAATTCGATGTATACCTATTAATTTAAATTTATATAATAATATTTTAATACCAACAATATCAAAAGCTTTTTTAAGATCCCTATCGAGAGCGTCAACTTGAGACTTGACCACCATTCTGAAGTCTCAACTGTGGATATTAAATTAGAGTAAAAAACTAATAAATTCGTACTGGTTGACCGTTGTGACCGGAAGCCGTATTGATTAGATGATAGTAAAGGTAGCTTAAAAGTGATTAATAGTTTTTTATTCATCATTTTCTCGAATAGCTTAGGAATTACACTTATTTTTAAGATTGACGATAATAAGTGACGAATTTCTTATCACCAGATTTGAAAATAGGTGTTACATAATAGTTAAATTTAATAAACGCTTATTATACTTATAACTTATTTTATCAGTCAAACCCCATATCTATAGACTATAATGATCGTGTAGAACGTCTGACTTCGTAGTTTCGTACTATAACATTAGAAAACGGTCTAAAGATCTATTATAATATACCTTAATAGTGGCAGATTCTATATTAAATAAGGTCTTTACATAATATATTATTTAACATGCCGATTTGAAGTGATTTTGATCCATTACCACTTACCATCAACAAAATTATGACTCAATCAAATCAACATAATAACATAATATATCCAAAACAAAAACAAAAATCCACTAAACAAAAGTTTTCTAGGTGTTTTTCTGATGGCGAAAAAGATGAAGACCATAATAAATGATAATAAATTATGATCAATAAAATCTAGTAAAAAAATGATTTTAATATTATCCATATGTTTTTCAATCATTAAGTCTATAACCAAGGCAATGGATTTTTTGTTATCTTACCACAGTGCTGAGAGTAGATAACTTTTGTTAATATAAGTATTAAAAGTTACAGTTTTTATGCGTTTTAAATGTATGAAACATAAATACAAATAATATAACTTAGCAGTGTGAGAAAATAAAATTTGCATTTACCCCTACCTTCACAATCATTAATAATGGCATTTTAAATACAAGGGTGCACTCTAGAAAATCAGAAAAAAATCACTGAATCATATAGTATGGATGGAGCTGTTTGCTGATTGCCTATCTCGCAATGTAAACATTTTAAATTACATGATATAAGTGAAGTCTCCGATGGAGTTGCTTGATGTGAGCATGTGTGAGGTGACCCATCCGTTTTAGTTGCTAGTTTATATTTATATAATGTTATATCAATTCACTATTCACGTATAAATAATATGCGATATTTCTGTTTACGCACGTGAAGTTCTCTTCGAGCATGAGCACATCCAAGGATCAAGCATCTCCGTCAGAGACTTGTCGCTAATATGTGCTTCAAGTTATTGGGACAGTATGACAGGTCCATCCTCAGTGTACTAATTACTACTATCGTGAATTTTACCATAAGGAAATTTTATTGCGGAAAATGTTTTGCAATAGGAACACCAACGTTTGAAAAGATGAAATTCGTGAGCACTTGGTGCGATATGTAAATTAACCGTATTATAAGTCATAAACTAAAATAATTTTTCCATTGATACTTATTCCGTGACCCAACAGACTCAACTGCAGTACTGCAGCATTGGTTATTGGAAATTAACAGACATAACGCCGGAACGTTTGCAATGTTTGCTAACGTTTACTTCACTGTTCAACAAACAGACAGTCCGAATTTCTCTGTTATCAAACATTTCCAGCGTTTACCTCTATATCATTACCGCTTCATCCAAGTTATCACCACAAGGCACAGACTATATGAAAATTATTTTCATAATATATTCTGCGTTACCCTTACCACCAAATATGACAACCTAACTAAATTGTACCCAGGTGCCAAACATAAAATCCCGCATAAAAAGACCATAAAACACGATTGGATGTTTTCAATAAAGGTAACGAACGGTAACGTGGATTAGGTATTGTGGTACCCAACTATCAATTACCTACGCAATACGCATAACTCATCCAGCCATCAGCCATCCGATCATATCGTTAGATCTTCACCTAGATTTTACACGATCTTCCCCACAGATTTTGTACATTTATATATATATCTGTGGCGTCCAAAGACTTACGTTAGTCTTAAATATAGATCCAATAAATATAGATCTGTGAGCGCAATCATGATAAATGCAATGCATTCCGAGTCACGGGAATCATGATAAATGTTATATATTGCATAAAAATGTTTATCGTCATCATAAAACTAATGTAAAAAATCAAATTGGAATTCATATTACGGCTCGCGTAGTCGCGTATAGGCACGTTTTACATAATACACAATAATTTATAAAAGTCATACCATATATCCATGTATTTAGTTCAGAGCATCGACTTAGACACCATGGAGAATCCAACCTGTCGTTTCCAGTCATAGACATAATAATATATAAACAATATACTATATAGGTACATGTATAATGTATATTATGAATATGTTTCCAGTCCATGATATCCTAAGCCCAGATTTCTAATTCTATTTCTATTTCTAATAGTCTGTGATATTAAATCGTAGTTTGTGGTCGTGGTGAAACTGTTACACCAGTATATCACCTTTCACAGCGCAAAAATATTGTTTTCACAATTCGGTTCACCTTATCACGGTGGAGTGTTTATTATTGTTTATTCTGGTTCTATGAAAAGAAAGGACCTTATAATCTGTATTACTCTGTGGTTATTACATCAATTCTGTGGTTATCAGTAAACAGGACGTATTTCCGTCAAAACTCCAAATGTGAAATAATATCATATAAGTTCCCACTTTTGATGTCCAGTGTACATAATTTAGTAATTATTAGTGATACAATTTTACCCAAATAATCTGTAGTCCATACAATTTATGTCCTACGACCTACATGTTGTTGCTATTATAATTTATAGGTAGCCAAATTTTATTCGTTGAAAGTTTGCACATTTATAAATTTATTTTCTTCTTGCACTAAACTCCTATGTCTTGATGCAATCGCGTTAATTGTTACCAGCCGTTACCACACTAATATGTAAGTATTTTATTGGTTATATTATCAGTCATTTAATATTTTCATTTAAGAAGAATTGAGCGCCAATGGCCTCAAAATGTCTTATGCTTACATAGTTTTTTTTCTTAACTTATTATAACCACTGTCGAAGTGCTATCGCTGGTAGGCACTTCATCAAGTTCACAATGCTCACGTGTCAAATTGAAATTATTTAAAACATTGAATAATTCAGATGTTATCCCTTTAGCTTCTTTTATTAAGTACAATATTATATTAAATAGATTGTAACATTTAGAAAAATAACTAAGTAACTAGTATAAATAGTCAGTCCAATGTCAGTATATTGTATTCGTGATGTATATATCAATCAGGACATTTTATCCGGTACCTACCATAGTAAATCTTGTTTTCATTAAATTATCATTCATTCCAAAAGATAATTAATATAAGTAACAAACAAATTATATTAATTTCCATCAATGGTTCAGTTCTCCTTTAACCATTTTTATTTTCTTGTATTCTCATACCCATATTTCTGAAATGTCCCGCCATCGTCAAAGCCCTTCAACTATTCTATATAATTTTTTAACTCATAACTCCTTGCATGCCTATAATATTATGATAATGCAAATTATATTTTATATTTTTTTCACTAAAATACAAAATAATAACTACTTAATTAAAACTTATTAAACTAATATTTAATTGAATCTATTTTCATTAGGTTTTTACAATGGAAAGAAATAGTCAAAAGAGATCAGAACTTGAAAGTTCCAAAAGCACTATATTTGGATATACTATTGAAATCGGAAATACCACTTATGAAAATACTTTGGAAGAACGCATACAAGCTGCTAAAAATGCTTCGTCAAGTGCTAAAAACCTAGCACAAAAACAAAATATTCAAGAAAAATTATCAAAGATTAGGAATGCAAGTGAACATACATATGCTCAAAATATAGCTATTAAGAAATCAACAAATTGTGCTCAAGAATTAAAAATTAAAAATAAGCAATGGGCATCTATAAATAAAACAGATATTGAAACTTCAACTAATATTCCTTTTCTAAAAAACTTGACTAAAACTAATAATATAAATTCAAATTTTGAATCCAAATGTAACCCAAATTTTTTAAAACCAACGCACAAAGGAGGCGGTTCAATGCAACTCCGATTAGAAGCTATAAAAGCTAATAAGAAGTTATCTAATAGAATTTCTCATGAATATAGTAATACTTTAGAATCAAATAATCCTTCAAAAATTGTGAGTCTTCAAGATAATATCCCCCTAATGAAAAATCATAGTTCTAAATTGTGTACTACTAATATGTCCAAACGCAATGAGTACAAAACCAGATCAACTGTACAAAAACATCTCGAAGAAAATAAATATACTGGACACTGTGATCGTACTAAGGATATTACTAATACACCATGTAAGTTTTTAATTTAATTACTTAATTTCTGATTGGTAGTTAAAAAATATTTCAGCACATCATCTAACTATTTTTACACAATTACATAATTAATGATATAAATTATATTGTTTAATGATAGTGATAATAACGACAATATGTAAAGATATTATTTAGTATTTAGTATTGATCTTCAAATTCGGATGTAAATTCCTTCATATCTGTTAGGTGGATGTCCTACAATAGTCGGGGCTGTAGACAGCTGTTGTGAGTTTTGCTTCTTTAGTTGTAGTGACGGACTCTGTCTGAGTCTCTTGGCTTGTCATGGAAGATTCTTAATTGATTTTTGATTTAAATATTTATGAGGGGTTTTTTGGTGTTGTTATGAATCGAATGTTCCCTCTTACACCACAATGCTTTTAGGTTAGAAATATATTTTGAAGAATTTGGATTTTTTATTTATCTAAGTATATAGAGTCAACGCCCAAACAACTAGTGAAACAAGACAGGCATCTGTTATTAGTGGCCCAATTATTGAAGTGTTGGAAGAAGAAGGGATAATTTGATTTGAAATTGATTAAACTTAGAGAATTCTCATCCTGGCATACTTCTGTGCAAGTTTTTTTTATTTATGTGGACATTCCATGTTAATTTTTCGTTAAGAAAAACACCAAGGTATTATACACTAACTATTTGACCAAGTCATCTTTTTAAATTCATTGTATGACCTGGTTGTCTATGTAAATGTTTCTGGGGTTGTTGTATCTTCTTAGGGTAGATATTTTAACAGCGGTTCTTGTTGGCTGCTAATGATTTTGTTTAATGGATATTGCAGTTTTTAGATTGATAATTCTATAATTCTATTTTGTTAAAGCTTGTACCATCAACAAAAACTCTGCATAAATATTGAATTCAATTCTGAGCAGAGCGACGAATGCATTGATTTTATAATGATGTGTGTTTTCTTTAAATTTATTTTTTATTTTGGTCTGTTATCACCGTTTTCCCACTTAGCTTATAAGATTCATTCGGTTATAAGACTCACTTTGTGCTGATCTGAAAATGAGTCTTATAAACGGTGTCCACTGTAGGATTTTTAAACTAGTGTCGGCTAAAAAATGTTTGCTCCATCAAAAAACTTGAAAGTGTAATACAAGGTTCCTCGCAAGTTGATGTTAGTGGAGATTAAAAAAAAAGTTGAACACAAATCCACAATATTTTTTTATGAGCTTTTGAATTTAAAATTTTAATTAAATGACCGCTAAGTAAAATTAAATTTTTTAATATGATGTTCATAGTTTAACTAATATTCATTCATGTAGCGATTTTCTTAGTATGTTGTAATTTAAAAACAAATAGACCATATGTTTATTTTATCAATTTCCATACTTGATAAGATTTTCAAAATATTTTCTTGTTTTGAGCTGTTTACAGACATTTAAAATTTAAAATTTTTTTTAGTTTTTTTTTATAAATGTCAATAAGTTTTATTTGTTGGGTCAAAAAGCTTGAAAGTTAAATACAAGGCTACTGATATTGCACCAAAATATCAGTTTGAAAATTTTATAAAATACATAGACACCATTTTGCTTTATAAGCATTGAAAGTTCAAATTTTGACAAAATCTACAAATTATTTACTAGTCAAATATTTATAAAATATTCAACTTTTATATCTAAGAATTGAAAATTTATAATAATGTTCCACATTAGTAGGTTGTTCTGTTACAAAAAAAGAGCAGGGAACTTAAAACTTTTAGAATATATTATTATATTTTATATACACAATAACTTTTCAAATGTGATTTTATTTGGAAAAATGAATTTAACTTATCATACTACTAATGCCTAATAATAAAATTAATTACTTTATTCACAATAATATTATCAAATGTACCTAATAACATTATAGGCCGACAGGCCATCTTTATGCTTAATCACTTTTTGTATATAATGTTTTTATATCACTGAATTTATATTTAACACCATTTATTACAGTGACTTACTTGTAACCTACTGTATAGCTGAGCTACATTGACTTACCCTCATTTTTTAATTTTAAGATTATATTTGGCTTAATATTATAATATAATTAATTGTGCAGATAAAATGGTAACATCTGTTCAAAATAGACTCATAAGTGCAAGAGAACAAATTACTGCCAAATCCAAAGATAATTATGAATTTAATGTTTCAAAATGTGGAATGATTAAAAAACCACCAATATGTGAATGTAAGGAACCCATAATTTTTATTTTTATTTATTTAATGTTATTTTTTTAAATATTAACCGGGGAAAAGTATCATTTTAAATAACCTGTAGTAACATAATATTTATATTTTACAAACAAATTAGAACCATTAAATTAACAACAGATAATAATCAATATCTTTTTAGTATCAAATAAAAAATTGTATAATGATCTTGAAGACTAGAATAGAGAGACAACACTCGTACAAACCAGCACATGAAAAAACATCCCGAAATGAATCGTACTCAGAGACACATCAAACGACCGCAGGCTGCTCTGCATATACTGGGGTTGCTACTTTTTCCTGCATAGTATTGGGATAATTCATATTTTTTGGAAAATACGTACGTATTGTTTTTAACCATGACTCTTTTTAGATTTTATAGCATGTACGATTACACATTTATACATGTGCATATGTGTATATTTCATATTTTTTTATTATTATTGTGTATATCATTTAAGTATACAATCCATTAACACTATATCTAGTTATTTAATACCTATATATCTGTGTTCACAGTAAGTCTGTGTACTCTATTCAATACACCAAACACATGTGATTTTTGAACAATCGTTTTATACTGATATGTGTATTGTTACACTCAAATTTGTTTTTTAAGAATATGTAATGTTTATGAAATATACAATTATGCACATGTTTAAATGCATAATTGTACAAGCTATAAAATCTAAAAAGGGTCATGATTAAAAACAATGCATATATTTTCTAAAAAGTCCAAAAAACGTGAATAATCCGTATACTTCCCAGTGTAGCATGTGGCCGTTAAATCGTGCAACTCGTTTTAGGTTACATTATCAGAAGCGGAGTTTGGTCTTCTTATTCTAGTTTTCAGGATTATGATACACTAATACCAGGTTGCAAGAACAATCACTAAACATTTAGTTAATCAATAGTGAGCTAATGGTCCCTTAAACATGATTTAGTGGCCCATGATTGGTCCATTAAATTAATAAATTGCTCATGCAACATTATGCTAAGTATAATTTATAATCGTATAAAGGGTACTTTTTTTTCCTGGTTTATAAAATATTTTCATAATGACTAACACATACATCTTGATACAACTATAGAATTCTATGTATTATCTTCTTATTCATCAACAATTTTTTTTTAATTCTGATGATTGTTATGTTCCTACTGTGTTAGTTTAAAATGGAAATATTCTAATTTTGTTAAACATAATTTGAGAAGTTGACCTTAAATTCCCTACGCCTATACATTTTGATTTTATTTGTATTAACTTTCAATTTCCATCATTTTTCATTTTTGTTTAATATTTTAGCAGGCAATATTCACCATGATACAAACACATTGGTGCGTAACAGTAAAAATAAAACAAAACGGTTAAACCAACCTAATCAAAGCAACAAGAAAAAGAGACCAGGACTTGTATCAACTACTAAAAAAATCATTTTAAATAACAATTCCTCTGTTAATAAATGTATTGATCAACAGTTAATGAATGTACAGCAAAAACCAACTGTACCAATTCTAAATAATATGATTTCGTCTTGTTCTTCTTCTGGTAAGATTTATTTGTTTTATTTTTTATATCATGACTTGAAATAATAGTTAATAGATTATAATGGAAAATAATAATAAAATATTATTATTGCTGTATTTAATAATCTAATAAAATATAATGTCAGAAACAGTTGTATCAACAAAACTGGGAAATCAATGCATTTTATCAAATTCAAAGTCTAAGGAACTTGACTCTTTTAGTTTTGTTAGGCCACAAACTTCTTGTAGTCAAACATCTGAAATTAAAAAGAGGTAATTATAAGAGTAACCTTACAGGAGGTTTTATGTCTACTACTAATGATAGACCCCATTATTTTGATGTAATTGCTTACCTACTTAAAGTAATATTATTTAAACTCATTGGTATATTGATTCACTACTTTGAAGTATCTTTTAGTTTAAGAATTCCTTGACTAAAGATCTTTGAGACTAAGTATTTTGTAGGTTTATTGTTTGATAATACTTCCATATTATTGTACAATCACCTTCTTGTCACTTTTATGTTTGGTTTTCTATTCACTTAAGAAATAAATTAATTTGTAATTGCAATACCATTTTATTTTATTTTATTATTAAATACCTCAAATAGGTATGTATTTTATAATATCTGCTAAATCTAAAAATGAAAAAACAAATAAAGTAGTAGTAAATATAAAATTTCTCTTGAAAGACTTATACTAGTGATTATTAACCTAATAAGTATAAAATAAAATTGTAATTTATTTAGTACGCAATTTAATAATGATGAGTCAATGGAATGGGAAGAAATAATTGAAACTGAAGACATAGTTGAAAAAGTAAACAACAAAATACCTTTTATACCTAAATTTGATTTTTAATTTATTTATTTTGAAAACTATTAAATTGTATAAGGTTAATGACTTGAGAAGAGCTAAACATACCTATGAACCTATGGAATGGACACCGGATTCAATCATGCACAGTGATAGAATTAATTACTGTTTAGTGATTGATACAAATATACTTTTATCAGATCTGAACTCAATTACTATTCTTATAGACAAAAATTTAACTGGTAACATATTAAGTAATACAATTTTATACTACATAGATTATTTATTTAAAAATATATTTTGTTCAGATTATGGTTATCCAACAATTGTATTACCCTGGCAAGTTTTAAAAGAACTTGACTGCATAAAGAATGGTGAAACTGCAATTGCTTATCGAGCACGTGAAGCTACCCGATGGTTATTAGAAATGCTTTCAAAACGTCATCCAAGATTAAAAGGTCAACCTATGACAAAAAAGAGTTATATGGGTTCTGATGATGATATTTTAAAGTGTGCCATAACTGTAAAAGAGAGGGTGAATATTGTAGTAAGTAATTGACTTCTTACTGTAAAATATTTGTTTGATTATGTATTTTTTGTAAGAAATATGCCTTTTTTAAAATGCCTAATTGTTGGTGTGTATAATTATAAAATAAAATAAACTAATAACTATATTAATATAATGTTCATATTTTATTAAGTAGTTTATGGCATAATTTAAAGGAGCACACAACACAAATAAAAAAATTCTTTAAATTTTTTTTAAATGTTAAATTATTGTAGTTATGGTTATATGAAATGATTTTGTGAAGATACGATGTAAAAAAAAATATTACTTTAGGAGATGTAGAATAGCCGCGTGACGTCACTGGGCTGGAGTCATCGTAATTGCCTTTCTTATGCCTGTAAAAGTTCCTTGCTTCATACAACGATTTATCAACCTAAACATTTTCTTTTTAAAATTTAATTGACGTATAAATGTGTGGTTTTATGTGTTTAAGACGGTGCAAGTATCAGAATTGCAATACGATGTTTAGTTTTTTAAATATTAAAAATCTTAAAAGAGACATTTTGGTTAAACCGCACGTCATGGCGAGCGGCGCGTGGTGTTCGAACAAAGGGTCCGCTGTTTAACCAAAATGTCTGTTTTAAGATTTTTAATATTTAAAAAACTAAACATCGCATTGCAATTCTGATACTTGCATCGTCTTAAACACATAAAACCATATATTTACATGTAAATTAAATTGCAAAAATAAAATGTTTAGGTTGATAAATCGTTGTGTGAAGCGAGGAACTTTTACACTTTTAAGATAGGCAATTACGATGACTCCGGCCCAGTGATGTCACACGTCTTTTTTCAATTGCTCATAACTTATTGAATAATGTGAGTAGAAACGTAAAACCTATACCATTATCCTTAGAATTGAACATTCTTTCAAATAAAAAAAACTTATTTTTTGTGTTGTGTGCTCCTTTAAGCAAAATGTCCCAAGCCTGGTAATTTAAAATACTTCTAAATTTCCTACTTTCTGGTTATTTTTAAACTACAGTACTACACCCACATTTGTTGTCTCTGTTTTACAAACGTGCAACATGGCTAATTTCACGTTCAGAATAATAAATTTTGCGCTGTAAATTCTAAGTGAATTTTCTTCTTATAATGTTTAAAGGTACGATTTTATTGATATTTTTATTAAGAAGCAAGTTATGACCATTTTGACACTGTATATTTTAAAATGATCATAACATACCTAACATTTTAAAAATAACAGAGTAAAATGGATTATTGTTAAGGTAAAATTTGTTATGTTGTATGTTTGTAAGCCGGAGACAACGTATGCTGGTGTGACGTCCTCTTAATGATATATTTAACATAATACATATAATAAATAAATGTTATCTTCTTTTACAGTATTTAGTTACCGATGATAAAATTTTAAACATAAAATCAGAATTTAATGGAATATCAGTAAAAAATTCATTATGGCTCCAAAGTTTAGTTACAGATACAAATCAAAACAACTCAGACATTTTCCAAGGTAAGCAATTTGCCATGTGATTCATTTAACATAAGACACTCATTATTTCAAAAAGTATTAAGATTACGCTACACCCGCATGTGTTGTCTCCGTCTTACAAACGTACATCATATCAAAATCTGTTTTGCACAAAATAGAACCACTCAAGCTGTAGTCCAAGCCATGCAACCAAATTTTCACACTATAAACAAAAGAACATTTATTGTGCAACATCATTTTTATTTTTTCGATATCACAAACACAAAAAAAGTTATTAAGTTTGAAATAATTAATTTATAAGCAATAAGAACTTTTCTTGTATTTGTTATATCGAAAAAACAAAAACGATGTTGCACAGGAAATGTTCTCTTGTTTACAGTCTGAAAATTTGGTTGCTTAGCCTGGACTACAGCTTGAGTGGTTCTATTTCGCGCAAAACAGTTTTTGATATGTTGTATGTTTGTAAGACGGAGACAACACATGCGGATGTTGCGTCCTCCTAATGTTTTTGAAAATATAATTTAATCCATTTTTATCTACTATTAACTATGTACCTATAATAACTGTTAAAATTATAAATGTTTATTCAAAATAATTTAACAATGATATCTTACCACACAAATAATTAATAAATAAGTTTTATATTCATAAATTAGATAAATTATTAATTTATTATACATCATTCAACATTTAAGATTATGAGAATACAGATCACATTTTATTGAATTCAGAATTTTCTCTTTTTTTCTGTCCAAAATAAGTATCAATATTCTTTTTTTTAATTACACACATTGTTTTACAATACCTAGTACATAACAATTATATTTATAAATCAATTTAAGTTTGAATGATATAATAATTGATTAATTATAGTTAATAAATTATTAAGGGTTTTCTAAGAGACTGATATCCATATTTTTTATCTGCGTCTAATATATATTATACCAGGGATGGGCAACTCAAAGTTACTAGACGGCCAATTTTTAGGAAGTTAAAATCTAGCGGGCCAGAGCATATAGAAAGGAAAAAAGGGAAGGGGGGTCATTCAGAGTATACATTTTAATTGGTGTTAAATTGATTATAGAGTACAGGCAATACACTTTAAAATTGTATGATGTAATTTGAAAATGTAACTTGGACCAAATAAAAAAGGCTAGCTGACCGCCAGTTGCCCACCCCATTATTATATAATATAGTATATACTTTATATTATTGTATACATTATAACATCAGTGTCTTCAAATCCTCTATAGCCATGAAGGTACAGCTAAATTAGGGTGGTAGTGGGTAAGTTTTGTGAATAAATTAACTTGTTTGTAATTAACAATTTATTTGTATATCTAGTCTATACTCTATACTGCTTTATACATGGATTTGCTCATTTAGCTTAAGAAAATTCTTTTAATATTTAGTAAATACTTATTTTCTCAAAAACATTATATGTTTTTACTTTTTACTAATTTTACATATTATGTGAATGACAACATATATTTTTTATTTCATATTTCTTAGCAGGATAGTTTTTTGAGATTTAATTATACATATGCAAATTTTGAATTTTAAATGTTTAATTTATAAATATTTAAAGTTAAGATAAATTGAATGCAGTGTCACAGGGCTAGGTTATCCTGCAAAATTCTGGTTTTTTACTATTATACTTAAATTGTTAATTAATTATTACTTAGTTTATATTGTTTAGTATTGTTTTATCATTTTATATTGTTTATCTTTTTATTCTTTTGTAAAAGCTGGTTGGCATTATTCATAAAATAAAATAAAACATAAATAAGGATCCACCATAATTTTCTCTCGACTCTCGGAACATTGCAAATTTTTGTCCAGCTGAACAAATATTGTGTTATTGGATTCAATATTAAAGTGAATTAACTAGTATCCAACTTAAACTTAAAAACATTATCTAAAGTACAAACTTGGCTTTTTTATGATACTTTAATTGTTATGAAATCTATCGTCTTATTGAGTAGATATATACGATATTACAATTTTTAAATGCTTGTAATATATTGCTTGTTCGGTTTTGAAAACTGCTTTTAAAATCATTTGATTATGGTTTTCAATATTTAACATTATTTAACATTGTTTTGCAGTTTGAGCATTGCCAATACATTTTTTGACTTATATTATTTTACCTACAGTAAGTGCATTGGCCAATTTTAACTTAATCTAGCCATTTTTAAGAGTGCATTTTTTTCAATAATATTTTTACTACTCTTTTTTTACTTTTCAATAATTGTCTAATATAATATAATATTAGGTACTTATTGTGTTACTGTTCAATTGTTACAAACATTGTGAAATGATAAATATTGTAAACTTATTTTTCCTGTAGGTGTAAGCAATTTCTTAGAGTTTTTTATTGTGTCTTACACAATAATGCCCACATTTAAATTAAAAAATTTCAAGCATATTCTTTTTATAAGAAAATATTCCATCAAGAATTGTTAACATTTAAATTTATTTGTAAATACTAAATGTTTAACTCTTGTTGTATGACCGCACTTTATCGACCAATATGAAGTGCAATAACGACGACTGTAAAATAGTTAGTTGAAAATAATATAAATTTAAATGTTTTCGGTTTTGGTTATAGTTACAGTGTTAGAAAAAATTTTTTTTTAATTTTTTTTAAAATACGATATTTTTAGCTAATTACGCTATCTATATCTAGTGATAAAATATAAATATATACATATTGAAAGTGGTGTTGGAAAATTAAAAACCGGTGTTGAAAATTGTGTGATTATTAAAAACCTGTGTTGAAAATTGTGTTAAATATTAAAAACCTATGTTGTAACCAGTTCTAACTAGTCTTCCAAAAACCAGTTTCAAGTCCTGCACAAACCTCTTATATTAAGGTAAGTAGTGAATGTTATGGAGATCACCCGATGTGGTCCAAAGTGACCTTTTTGTTTTTTCATATCCTGATCACACCCCATACATAGTAGGTTAGGTTTTAGTGGTTATTAAAACTTAATATTTTTTATATAAAATAAATATACGTACAGTGATTAGTGATTACTAAATTCACACAAGTGAACAATATAACATACTCCTATGCAAACGACTAAAAAAAAACCTTAAAAATAAATAAATATTACAATTATTTTGAATTCTTAAAAATTAACTTTTTTTATAAAACATTAAAATTATTTTTATTTAATCTATACAATTTATGATTTTTACTTATTTAACTATAAGACACCTTATATTATGATGCATTATTAATTTTAAATCTGTATTCCTTTGCTCTTTAACAAGAATTTAAAATTCTATTTATTTTTATTTTTATTTAAATTCTATCAAATTATTGAGAATTGTATATTTTTGTGATGATGTGTTGGACAAATAAATAATATTTGGTATATGATGGTATATAATTATACACACATTAATCTATGAAGCAATGCTTAAAACTGTAGATACTTATTTTTAGGACAAAAAAGGGCTATCTTAATTTGGTCCATGATAAATTATAAATATAAAAAAACCATTTCAGTCATAAAAAAGTATTAAATGAATTAATAATTTTTAGTTGTCTGCCCTAAACTACTATTTAGCTACCTAACTTCCATCCCTAACATAACTGTTCTCCTAATACCTAAAGTTGGAAGGTTTGCTTTAGGGCAAACTTATAAAAATTCCAATGCTTTTGAACAATTTAACATAATGCTTTTGAGTGAGTGATTTTAAAACCTTGTAATGACGTTTATGGGCTTGAATAACCAACACAAATATAACAGTAAAGATGATCTCTCTTCTGATCACAGCTCGATGTATCTTGTGCTTGGTACAAAACCTATTCCAAATATTTTTTCTCACTCCTGAAAGAGTAATTTTATTTGGCTAAAATGTATCAAACTAATAAGTGAAAAAATAAATTTATGACCCTCCTTATTAAAACCACTTTTGACATTGACACCATACATTCATTTAGCTCCCCAATTAAAATTCTGCTTCAACTGCCACTAACAACCACCTTTTATTTTTAAATAATACTTATATTTCTGTCCATGTTTAACACCTACTTATTAAATGTGGAAATGATTTAAATACCCTGTAGATAAAGCATAATTCAACTATTTAATAAAAACCTAAGCACAGCTACTAAAATCATAAAAACAAAAGTTATCACAAGTACATCTGAAATTGTTTATCTTTTCTCATTCAATCTTTCAACTAATTTTTTCCTTTGAAAGGCAGTAAAAAGTGTATTATTAATCGTAAACAATTATCTCCTTGTTTTGATAAGGTTAAATAATCTGTCGTCCGTTAAAGCCTATATTTTTGCTGAACACCTTGTTGGTACTTATAACCACAAAACATCATTGAAACAATGTTTTTAGCTTGTCCTGAACTTGTACAACACCATTAAACCACTGAAAACCATACTTTTTCAATTTGAGCAACACGTTATTCAGTCAATTTCCTAATACTTGTCCCATGTCCCCAATGAATCAATAAAGCTCTTTCTCTATTTTTTATCAAAGCACTGAAAATTCTATTTTTATATCATTTGAAACTTACACAGATAATGCAAACATTTTAGCTCCATATAATATTTTTCTCCAAAATTGACAGCCCTGAATCAGTATCTTGTGTTTTGTTAAATGTCCCATGCCACCGTACACGATCATCTATTCCATTCCATACTCCATTCTCATCCTCAAACTACTATCTCAACTCTCCTACCATCTGTCTTAAGTGCATTGCCAATACAAACCCTTCTTTCTACCCCTAAAATGTAGTTAGTCTAGTTTCCATAAAACATTTTATTATTGTTATACTCATATCTAACCAGGTTTGTCTCGTACTGTAAAATAAAATAACTACTAGACATTGTCTCAAAAGTTGCGAATTTAGAGATTTAGTAACATAGAGACTACTAATTTAATATAACGGTTGGCTCTACAGAACACCCGTTCTGTTATTTCTGTTGTATATTTACATGTCATTAAAATAACTTAAAATTTTTTTATTCTATATACACAAGTTTACATACTAATAATATATTATGTATAAAAAAATAGGCATATAGCCAGAAAACTTGTAATATTATAATTTCTGGTTGTAATAAAGAACATAGTTTTTATAATAGATAATTAACCTAACTAATAAATAAATAAATATGTTTTTACATTTATCATTCAATTTTCATTTTTAACTATCATTCAACCAAATTTTCATTCGGATTTTTTCAGGAGGTTTGCTTCATACTTGACGCATCTTCATCAAGTTACAAGTGGAAGGTTATACACAAAATATATGGTGCCTTTTGGTAAATCATTTTTCCAAAAAATGTCTCTAATTAAACATTATAGATTAATTATATTATTTGAATTCTGTCAAATTAAAAAAAAGTTTTTAATACTTCAAATAAATGTATATATTTTCTCAATTAGTAATTTAATTTAAATCTTATTATACTATCCAAGTTGTAATTATATTTTCCTTTTCTTATATAAGTATTAAACCATACATTCTTAAATCAATTTTCTTTAAAAAAAATAATTAAAATATTGTCTAACCGATTCATTAGATACTTCAGGTAAACATATATATTACATATCGGTATGTGTATTGTTATTGTATTATTTCAAATAACCCCATAGCTTAAAAAAAAACAGACATCTAACATATAAAAGATCACACTTATTTTATATTAATGTAAAGATATTTGTTTTAATATTGTTTATGGTTAACTATTTGTTTTTTCTTTGTGTAGTTAATAATTACTAGTCCACAGTCCTAGTATGTATAACATATTTATTATTCATTTTAGTAACCTATATTTTATCAAAACATGTTCATCAATGTTGGGTAAGTTAAGGTTGCTATTTTTCCCAATATGTTTAAATACCTAATGGCATGTATGTAATGTGTTTATATATATATATATATGTATGTATATTATACAAATAAATTTAGACATTATATGTCTTAAATTTAAATTTGTTGTATTTTAAATATTCAGTAAAAACAAATTAACTTAATTTTATTTGTTGAAATAAGTGATACATTTGTTATTGTTTTAATTTAAGTAATTATCATTATATTTAATTGTTTTTATGAAAATATTTTTTTTTAATATAAGATTTACCTATAGACTGAAATGAACTATAAGACAATGTATTGCTGAATTACTTTGTTAAATTTGAATAAAAATTAATGCTGTATTAATTATAAGAATTATATTTTTTCTTAAATATTTACCACAGCTATAAAAAAAATCTTTATTTATGATACTATATTTAATGATAGTAATTATTATTTGTATTACATTTGAAATAAATACAAACTATTAAAATCACTTCAAAGAATTTGGATAAGTAATTTTTACCTATAAATATTTAAAAATATTATTTTTAATCAATTTTTAAACAAGTATTAAATAGTATACAACTGTTTTATCAACACAGTTGTATAATTATTTCTTTTAACTCCCTAAAAATAATATTATTTTGATTTGGATTATGTTCATGACAGTAAAATGCTTTAGTGTATATCTACTACCTAATTATATTTAACCATTCTTCAATGTATTTTGTCTAACTTTCAACCTAAGTCAATTTATTTTGAATTGATTTAAATAACTACTCGTTACTGTTAATTATTCAATATAAAATTATTATTCTTTTACATTTTGTCAGGTAATTAATATAAAATAGAATACTTAACATAAAATAATAACACATAACACAAACTTAATAGCTGTAAATTATATTACTATGCTGTCTATTTCTGTCAATATTTTTTTTCAAAAAGTCATTACTCCATATTCCTTGAAATATAATGAATTTTTTTATTAATTTAAGCCAATTTATACTTCAGCTATGAATTGTTCAGGTTTTTATGATTGATTTAGGCTCAGTGGCGTAGACAAGGGGGGCGTGGGGGTCAGATCTCCCCATTAGCTTTATTTTTTGTTGTTGCTTACATTATGTAGTATGCGCTATAATGTAATATTTTGTCATGTTATCGAACTATTTAATTTTGACAGTTTTGTCAATATACTGAATACCAATATAATTTTATTTTAGTTAGCTATAAGTTATAGCAAAGTAAATAGTAATATTTATATGGTCAAAATAGTCGATGACGATTGACGACTATGATTATACTTTATTATAGCTTATCTTATTATTTATAGGTACAAAACTATATAGTTTATACAGTGTGTTTCTTTTTAAAGCTAATACTAAATAATTCTGTACAGTGACATCAGATTGATGTGTTCGGTTTTCGAGAGGATATAGGGAATACATAAATACACATTTCTTGATGATTTTTACGTTTTTAGATCTTTCCGTGTGCGCATGCGCAGTACAACTTGCATTTTTTTAAACGGCAACAAGTGTTTTGAATACCAAATTCTGATAGACCGAATTTTTTTAAGTCAATTTAGTCCTTTTCATCATAGCTCTAAAATCAAAATTGACTAAATGACGACTTAAAGTTTCAATTTAAATTATTGAATTATTCAACAATCATACTAGAATTTTATTAATTATTATGACATTTCAAGCATTTTTTTTTGTTTCCGTAGGCTTGCAGACATTATTAAATCATTTAAATTTAATTTTGAAGAATTAATTAACATCAATTAGACATACATTTTTAATTTACTAAGAAAAGATTAAACTAATTAACACAATTTTTATAATTTTATTAATTTCTATTATTTATTTGGGTAAAAAACGTCTAATAACCATCTTATAAATCTTTTCTTAGTAAATTAAACCATACGTCTAATTGATGTTAATTAATTCCTCAAAATTAAATTTAAATGATTTAATAATGTCTGCAAGCCTACGAATATAAAAAAAATGCTTGACATTTCATTATAATTCATAAAATTCTATTACGATTGTTGAATAATTCAATAATTTAAATCGAAACTTTAACTCTTTGTCATTTAGTTAGTTTTGATTTTAGAGCTATGGTGAAAAAACCAAATTGACTTAAACAAATTTAGTATTCAAAACACCTGTTGCTATTTAAAAAAATGCAAGTTGTACTGTGCATGCACACACGGAAAGATCTAAAATTGTAAAAATCATCAAGAAATGTGTATTTATGTATTCCCTATCTCCTCTCGAAAACCTCATATCAATCTGATGTCACTGGATAGAATTATTCAGTGTTACCTTTAAAAAGAAACAATATGTATAATGTATAATATACATATACGTAAGCTCGAATAAATGGGCTATATTTTCACAGTTCCACTGTGTGTCTGTGTTTAAAATGTTATCATTATTATGTTATGAGAAATCATTATGACAACGACATATACGGGTTTAGTTCATTACGTTTCATTCAACTAATTTATCTGAAATCTATAAAAAGAAATACATCTTTCACATTGTGTTTAATGTGAATTTTGAATCATTTCAAATGATATTCATTGTTCCTTATTGTTAAATATTTTACTAGGTACTTTAGAAAAAAGTTTTGAAAGGGTGGGGGATTTTCCAATTTTCACCTCCCATTTATTTTTTTTTGTTCGAGGGGCCCCCTTTCAGAAATCATGTCTACGCCACTGTTTAGGCTTATATACTGCAAATAGTTTCTAGGGAGCCTTGAATATAAATACTCATCCTAAATAAAGTAGGTACACATTAAACACACACATTAGGTAAAACATATGATGCTAAAGGATAAAGAGTTAGAAATTATTTATATTATAAAAGTTGATAGTTTTTGATTTTGATTTAGTTCAAAACTATGTAATGCTTACTTTTGATTTTGGTTCTCATTATTACTTCTGAAACAAAAACCTTATGTAATAATCTTGGGTATGTAAATTTTTTTTTGCGATAAATTTAGTTAGAAAATAAAATTATTCGATTAAATGCTGATAAAAATAATTTTATTTTAGTAGATTTTAGTTTTTTTTTTATTTTGCTTAACCTACTTAAATAACTACTATTATATTTTAGAGGCTGTTAAAAATTATCCAATAATTGAAAACAAATCAATTATGAAATTTGAACCTCACTTACAACATATTATAGTAAGGGTAAGTATAATACTTTTTTATTATAAAGCTTTAAAACACAATAATTATTTGTACATCAAAAAATAATATATATTAACTTATTATTAATTTTATCTTTCTTTATGTTTCCATGAACACCTCCTCAATTCCTCAAAAATAAACTAACCTTGTTTGTTTGAACCTACACTGTAATTTAGACTTTAAATTAGGGAACAATGTACACTGTATACTCTCATCTAAATATGCCTTACTTAAATTTGATTTTCCATGTTCTACAGAAATTTTTGCATCACAAGTGGTAATCATTAGGTTTGCTTGAGGAGACAGTTTTCCCAAAAATTTGAAGTACAGATATTAACCATCCTGGTCTTTACAATTACCAAATGTCTAAATATCTAATGATTGTTATAATTGTTAAATTTATTTTCAATCACTAGGAACGTTTATAAATTTAATAATAACCTTCAGTTTTTATTAGTTATCAATTTATCATCCACATCATGCTATCCTAGTTTCTATGAAAACATGTAATAGTATATTATTTTTATCTAATTGTTGTTATTAACAAATATTTGAGAAAATATTAAATAAATTCTGATCCAATTCATTTATTGACTGAATAATTTCTATTTAGAATACATTTAAAATATTCAAGAATAGGCTCCTAATTGTTTTTGTATTGTTATATAGTTAAATTGTTTAGTTTGTAAAGTGTTGGTAATAGCTGTTTAGGTTGAATTCAGCCTTCCAGTAATTTCATCAAATTTCCACTTATGATTTGCATTTTGATTAAATTATATTTCTTGTAGTCTCTTTTGAAAGTACTTAACATTGAGCAAGATGTAGTACAAGCTTTCTACAAATATTACTTAATGATTAATTCTCGTAATTATACACAAATCCTTACAGAAAAAAATGGAAGTCACGTATAAAAAGTTAATTTTGTGTAATGTAACAATTAATTCTAATATTATGTTAATTTTTTATTATCATTCATTCCTATTTTAATAGATAAAAATAAAACTGCTTCACAAGTAATTCGTTAAAATATATTGTTCCTGCTTACCAGCTAGATGTTATTTTTACAATACTTTTTACAACATGTATTTAAGCTTAATACAATGGTATTTTTTTTAGAATCAATCTTATTTCTGAAAAATTATCTATTTTTATTCTTGTGGATTGTTTTAAATAAGTTGTGTTTATTCCACAGGTTTTACAATGTGCTGTGCGTCTTAATAATAACTATTCCATTAATACACAAGAATTATGGTGGGAAATATACTCACTGTCAGAACCATTCAATTTACCTCAATTGTTAGTAAAGCTAAAAGAACATTGGAAAATAATAGCACCTCATCAGTTACTTAAAGCCCCCGAAAAACAATTGGATTGTATGGAATATTTTTTTAATGATCTCAAACAAATCTGTAAGTTAAAACTATTCTTAAATTATAATTGAGTGAGCTTTTAGTATTCAGTACCTATACATAGGTTCAAACCATTAATTTTATTCTTTTTAATAGCACCTGAAATTAGCCTTAGTTGGACTGAATTTTACAATTTTCTCAAGTGTTGTACAGAAACTATAATTGCATTACCGTATGAATATTATCATATTACTGATGTACTTTTATACGATTTGATGGTAAGATTTCTTATTATCTTAAATCTTAACTAAAATGGATTTTCATTGTTATTGTGAAATTGATATTTATTTGTTGATCAACATTAGGAACTTCTATTGCATTACAATGAAAATGATGATATATATCAAAACAATATCTGTTTTTTATTTCCCTTGCTTATGCTAATCTGTCTGCAATAATTAAGACAATTGATCCATCTACCACTAACCAGTATGTATTTACTCATGGAGTAGTACTATTTTACATTATAGTATAAATACATACAGCTTCTATACTAAATGTATTGATTGATAAGCTTTTCAATTATTATAAATGTTTTGAGCACTAATAATAATTACATCAGAGAATATGAAGACATTTAATTTGTTAATGTATACATTGCATGGATAAAATATAATGATAGTCTTTCAAAAACTAATTATTATCCCATATCTAAATTAAATTTACTTACCTAATTGATGTTTTAAATATTTTTGTAATATTTATATATGTAATTTTAGAGCTTATAGTTTTATATAAAACGCTTAATTCTTATTAGTATGTAGGTACTATGATTCCATTTTTTTTTTCATTACTTGCACCATTTCTTATTATTAAATGCTTATATAGATTTATATTAAAATTTAAATCTTAAATTTAGTACTATACAGCATTTAAGACTGTATTTGTGTAGATGGCGGTGTCTTATTTTAGAATATTTGAATTTGATTAAGTATAAAATATCATTACAGTTCCATACTTTTTTTCTAAACTATTTATCATAGCTATTATTACTTTGTTTGTTGTACATTGATTGTTCTATTTGCTTAACTCTATTAAAGTTGATTTTCAATAAATATATATTTACAATGTAATCGCCATTAATTTATGATATTGATACATAGGTATATGATATTTGTGTTAAAATGTATGAAATTTCAGGAAGCTAGAAAATCTTTAAAACAGAAACTATATTGTACCACACAAGATGATGACTCATATTTTTCGTTAAGTAGTTTAAGCATTTCAAACAATAATGCTCTTGATATTGACATCATTTTGCACAATGTTTCAAAAGCAGTTGATACATTTTGGTAAATAATGTTTATTAATAATCATTTCCTGACCTTAACAAAATCATTTGATTTTTGTAGCTCATATGTATACAATGATAATGGATTTAATCGCGACTGGTCTGAAGATAAACTAAAATGTGGTGTTCATATTAAAACAATAAATGTTGATGAGAAAATTGAAGACTATTGTTGTAAATTATCAAATATTATCAAAATTATGTTAAAGTATGTACCTAAATATTGAATACAACTTAATTATTATTACAATAGTAAGTTAAATTAAATAATACATTTCAGAATAAAGTTATTAAAAACTGAAGAAATACTGGAATCTCACATAATTATTGATGCATTTTTAAAAGCAATTACTGAATTCAATGAAGACTCTGTGGACTTGAAGAAGGAAAATGTCATTGATTATTGTTTGCTGAAAAATGAGTATGTATTCGAAAAAATACCTAGTTTAATATTTCCTGTTAAATAATTTAAAACTGTATTTCAGAAATTCATTTTTTCATGTTTTGGTAACCTTTCAAAATAATTTGGCAGCTATGAAAAATTTGATTACTACCATTAAGTCTTAGTTGTATTTATTTATTAATTAAATAAGTTGATATTTATTAATGTACCAAAAATGTGTAACATAAATATATTTTAAAGTTTTTAATCTGTATTTATTGCTATAAAAGTAACCTATGTTACTTATTGATTTATTTTCATGTGTAACAAAAAATTACATCAAGTGTTACTGCTACGATGTAATAAATTCCTCTCAACTGGTCTTCATACCTATGAATTTCCTCACGTATTATGCTCACCGTAAAATATTAAATCAATTCATGTAAGTATAATTTTAAAATAATCTATTTATAATACAATGAAACATTAATATGTAGATTGTAAAATATTGAGTAATAAGTAGTAATTGATGATACTGTTTATACTCATTAGTTTCATATTACATATTCCAAAAAATTTGATTGTTTAATTAATTAAAATGTTTAAAAGAAAATTAAAAATTATTTGATTTATGTTTAATGTATCTACAGGGTATAAGAATGTCTAATTTATGGTTTACCTACTTTATAATACCTATATAAAAAATAGTGAAATTTATATTAGTTACACATATGTTTAAGGATTCAAACTTCCCTTGAAATGTTTTCAAACAATATTTTTTTCATTTTTTTGTATTAACATTACTCGACTTAATTTATGTCGGCGTGTTCCATACAATGCATATTATTTACAATCCAAGTATACAGTTTAGTTAAGTACCTATCCTTATCCTGATGGTATGTGTTTTTTTCATGATTTTTTCAGTTTTCTTCTCGTCTAGTGTTTGATGATTTAAATACTTGGAACATGATATACTTGTGTAGACTTATACTAGTGCTGAGCATTATTTTGACAAATCCGGATTATGGATTACAATTATTTAATCCGAATTTCGGATCAATCCGTTTTATCCGGATTAACGGATCCAATCTGGCTTCATTGTTTTTGAGATAATCAGCTATTTTTTCATTATTATCAACCTAAATAATACGAATTACGATCTCAGATCTATTGAAAATCGACTCAATGTTTTAAGACATTAATTTTTTTTAATTAACTTTTATATAATAAACCGGATTTATATCATAATCCGGATTAAACGGATTGTTACTTTTGTTTCAATCCGGATTGATCCGGATTTGGTGCTCAGCACTAGCTTATACTATGGGCTGATGGTCATTAATCATTGTATACTCTCAACTCTGTATAAGCAACTAACAAGTTTTCTATTGAAAATATATAATTAAATGATTTTTAGTTTTTAAATCTGTAACATTTGATTTATACACTCGACAACACAAAAAAAACAAATTAAAATAAAGAGAAGATGGTGGATGGTTTCTTTAAATAAATGTTGTAGTAGGTATGTTTTGATGTGTTATTACATTTAATAAATAGATACATAGTGCATACAAATTAAATTAGACATGTCAAATTGAAATGTATGCGTTGTATAATGTGATGAATGATGACTATTGACTATTATTTATAAATAATGTTTATTGAAATCCAAAAAAATAAATATATTTTTTTTATTTATCTGCACTGTCTTAATAATACCATAAATGAACATACTAGGGTGAACAAACCACTGATTGAACAGTTAGGAATTTATTCGCTTTGAAAATATATTCATAAATTGGTTTTCATTGTCATATTTCCACAGTTTAGATTTGAAAATTGGTACAACTGTTTATTTTAATACTAACAGTAAATCACTGTAAACATAATATTAATTAATTAAAATCACAGTATGATAGTTATTGAACACTTCAAACCCAGTGTACCTATATGAACACCTAAAAATATTTGTTAAGACAATTTACATTATATATACTTCACGAATAATAAGTTATGTCAATTACATAATAAAATTGTATCTTCATTAACTTTTTATCTGCTATAGGTAGAAAATCTTACGAGGAATCTTGAACTACATTTTTAAATCTGAGAAATAACAGGAAAAGTTTTATGAATTTCTAACTCAAAATATTATGCATTTTTATGAATTTCGTTAAAATCGTGAATTTGTTTTTTCAATATTTTTTGAATTGAATAGGTATTTACTAAAAACAAATTGTGAGCAACTTTGTATTCAATTCTCCAATTTCATGACCTACCTAACGAAAATATTGACATATAAAGTACAAAAAACTACATAAAATCAAAAATGGCATAATATATCTAAAATAGCATAAAAAGCATAAAAAAAATAGTAATGGAAATTTTAAGTAGGTGTCTACGATTTTTTGTTTTTATTTACCTTCACCAGAAAATTATATAGACGTAGTAGAAAAATGGTATTGCTTAAAAATTCCCGAGTTTCCTTAGCGTAGGTAACTAGGTGCCTATCCGAATTTCGTCAAAAAAAAATATCATAAACTAATGTTCCTATGTACTTTATTGTGATTGTATATTTCTAAATATAAAATGCATATTATAATATAATTAGAATATGGTAATAATAATAATAAAATAATACTATATGATATTATACAATTGTATGTTTAAAAAAAAAAATTGATTTTTTTTAACAATTTCCAGTATCCGGACTAATAGTCATGAGGTCCCAATTAATTCGAATAATCAAGGTTCTACTGTATATAATTATTAATATTGCGTTTATTTTAACTATTAAAGTATACTACCTATGTGATATTATTTCTCAGGTATCAGTTGTACTTATATCAATACATTGTAAGTTAACCAATATAGTGATTGAAATAATCAAATACTTTGATATAACTTATACTAAAAGTAATACTTATTACTGTTATAAATGAAACAAAAAAATGTCTCTTAGTTTTTGAGTAATATTTTTTGGTGATTTTATTAATACATATTGTAGATGGCCTGGATACATTTTAATCTCCTAGCCTTAATTTGGTTCCCACTCCATTCCTACCAATCGTCAACCACCAATGATTATAAACATCTACCTCAGCATTTATAAATTATAAAAAAATGATTTTAAATAATAATGCATATCTAATATGAATTCGTCGCGTGGATTGTAAATTGTAATAATACCTATTTACCTACTACCAGTGATGGTGAGCATGCAGTGGTTATTGTCACGACCTACGGAACTTGGCATTGTAATTATTATCTACTAAAAGGTTTTCATAATAAAATTGTACATGATATTATGTCGTGTAAAATTATTGTATTTCTTTTCATAATGTTTATATAATATAAAGTGGTTTGAATCCAACTTTTGTCTGTAACCAATTCTGTTCAGAATATTGGCTAATTCCTTCATCAAATACATGAAACGTGTATGCATGTCGCGAATACTGTGACTTGTTCTGTTCACTTTTGTGTACCACTTTTCCGTGTATTAAAACGAGGCTGGCTGCGAATTAAATCCATTTATTAGGTATAAGTATGACTGTATAGTTTAAAATCCTTGTTGGATAATATATATTATATTTATGTAGGTACCCTGTGCTATGTTATAGGTATAGAATATAAAGCTTACATTTCTCAACGGCTAGCGGTACATACAAAGACTGTTCATATTCTGGATGCGTTCCCTGGAAAATTGTTTGGCTTGTTTCACTGCTTTTGTCCGGGTTACGAATAAGACGTTTGTGTATGTCGGTCTTGTGTGAACCCGGTATCACCCACAAACAACCGTTCTCTAGCGTGGCATCGTCCAAGGCTATCCAAAAACCGACCAATGAATCTGGTTCCGTGAAGAGGAATGTGGAGTCTTGATGCGAGATGACTAGATAGGTATATTTGAAAATAATACATACTTGATGAGTTTTTACCTATACGCGCGTACGCTCAGTAGCGCAACTAATGACGAGGCCAAAAGAGTGTGACACCGCCTCCGACTGCCGCCGGCTAATTGGTGAAAATTTCACCTATTCTGCGGTAAAACAGTAAATCACCGCCGATTTCGAAGTCACCAACCGCACAATCGGTTGGCCCCGACATTAGGGCAGTTAGTAGTTTACCCCCCCCCCCCCCCCCCAAAAAAAGGTGGCTAAGGTCCTCCATGGCACAAAATCACTTTAAATTATACATTTTAAACTTAGAAAGATATGTAACTAACAAATTAAATACAAATGACATTGTAAATAAATTTGCAGTAGAGGAAAGAAAAATAATGTTAATTTATAATTATGCTTTAAATTTTGTAATAAACATTAAAGAGGTATAAACTGTATATTTTATTGATTGTATAATATTTAATTCCTTTTTATTCAAATTTATTTAGGTACCTACCTAGGTAGTTAGTCTGTTTGTGGCAATATTTTAATTTGGACACAACTATAGTAACGACTATAGTCGTAGGGGACTTCTAAGCAGTATAAATGTATAACTGTATAAGTGTTGATAATCAATACTAATTTGTCACTACTATCACTACGAGTCACTGATATTATTAATATTTAACCCACCCAAAAATAAGAGTGGCGGACAGTTTCCCCCCGGACATTTTCCCCCCGACTGTTATTGACGTAGTAGGACATTTTCCCCCCAATATATATTCGATGCGGACATTTTCCCCCCATTTTTTTTTAAGTTTATTATTTATTATTTAATAAGAAATTATTTTTTTTTCAGTAAAATATAATTTTTTTTTATAAGTATAATCAATTATAATATAATTACCTATTATAGTAGAAATATATTTTTAGATTATTAGATTATATTTATTTAAAAAATAATAGTACTAGCATACTGTATTATTCGCTAGTAACATTGAAATCTAAAATTGTATCTAATACCCAATCTATTGCTGGGCTGTCAAAAACTATCTTATTATTTGATTTATTAGACTATTAAGATAAGATTCTTCTACAATCTTATATCTTCATGAGCAAAGGTTTTGGACTTTTGTATAAAAATTGTTCAAAGCAGTTATAGTCAATAACAAAATATATCATTTTTATGTCGAAATTTTTAACCTATTTTACTTATGTACAATTTTTTTATATTTTATTACATTTATGAAAAAAAAAAAATGAAATGTTTAATTTTACTTATATACAATTTTTTTATGTCTTATTATATTTATGAAAAAATGGGGGGAAAATGTCCTACTACGCCAAAAACAGTCGGGGGGAAAATGTCCGGGGGGAAATTGTCCGGATACCCAAAAATAGAGCTCTATAATAGTAGTGACTATACTATAATAATAGAATAAGTTTAAAATTCTTTTTTTTTTAAAACTATTGATAACTATTGATTTTTTATTTGTATTTGTATAATTTATTTAAGATTTTAATAATTCTAATTCTGATTTTTGTAATTTGTAATTTGTACTAAAAATAATGCAAATAAAATAATGGTTTTAAATACGTTAACTAACCCCTTATCGTTAGTTTATAAAATACCTATATAGTTAGTATATAGAATAACTACCTAGTTGAAGTAGGCATGTATTTATGGATTCATTCAATACATTAACTGAAAGTACCCGCAATTCTATGGCGTAACTAGTTTTTTTTATAGAATTACGGAATTCCGAATTTCATACATTAACGCTAACATTTTACATATTCTATAGATACCAAACAATTGCCGACTGTCGTTATTACCTATACGTAAAAAATCCAAATACCGCACTTTGTCACTTATCGCTGTAACTCAAAAACTACGCAACGTACGAACTTAAAACTTGGAATAGAAGAAAAAAAATTCTCGTATTTTCACCGTGCAGTAAGAAAGGATTTTCAAAGATATTGCTTATTAGTGGAGTAAGTAACAATTATATTTGTATTGTGCAGTACGGCGGACCGCGGTTTTCTAGCTACCTGCAACTTATCATTTTTGTCCTTCAGGTAGATAAGAATTGTTCTGAGAAGTCATAGGGATATATTGTAAAAATGAAAATAAACAAAAGTACACACGGTAATTCAGCTAGTTTATATATAACATTGCCAGGGTTCATTAGTATATACTATATAGGTGCCGAGATAGGCACCTAATTTAAAAATTCTATTATAGTCTTATTTTATTATGGGCCATTTTTATAACTACCTCGCTATTCCAATCCCTCCTCCAAGAATCAATTATAGGGCGTAAATAGTGTCGTGATATTTTAAATTAATAAAATGATATACTAACGTCTAACATTAATTTGACTTAATAGCTAATCTAAATAACCTTTAATACTTTTACGTATTGTTGATTTGTTCTCGTCTGAACAAATTATTAATATCTTACGACTTACGAGTACCTATATAGAAAAAAGAATATTTTTAATCGGCTATGCGGAGCATCATATATATGGGTTCAATAAGCGATAAATCCTGCACAAAACTGCTTGAAACATGGTTGTAAATATTTAATAGGGTCTGAAAGTGCACAAGGATAGACAGATAGTTAGTTTTTACTAAACAGTTTTAAATTTGGCTGTCACTTGATGTCTTGATGCACTCCCTCACCGACACCACCACCCACAATGTTTCATTAACGATACACATACTCTATAGCCTAATAGCCTATAGGTATAACTATTATATTATGCAATCAGATAATTATGGCGAGTGTAGATAATTAAATTTATTTTTAATATTTTAAAATGGGTACCTATATAGTATATAGTTTATAATAAATTGATATGAGTACCTAATAGTAAGGTAAGTTAACAAAACCAATCGTAAGTTGCAACTACATTTCAAATAATCTCTCTGAATTATTTTGATTGTAATATTATGTACTTATAAATACTCAGTGTTCGTGTTACTATAGGTACTGTATAGACTGACCTTCGCCACCAACACCAGGGTTTTTGTAGATGTACATGCTCTGCGGCACTACCGGCTTCACTAGGCCCAGAGATCGGCAGATGTTAGTCACCTTGTCGCTGTACGTGCATGTCTCGAATGTCGGGTGCAACCTGTGCAAGGCATGGCCGACTTTGTTCAGCGCCAGCGAGGTGTCGACCAACAAGTTTCCGACATCGTCCAGCGCAGCTTTTTCATAAAAAAATGATATTTTGTCGGCACTCTCTATGAAGTAATCGTCGGACACCTATATGTATTAATAATATTATACATAGGTATTATGGGCTTTCTACGTATTCTCATTTATCATAACTCATAAGTATTCAAAGGATCTTCTAATCTACCGTAATAGTTTGCTTTAAACAGTATTTATACGTATAAAAGTATAAAACCACGTCAAAAATACGTCCGGTCTTCACCGCCGAACCGATGACGATATTATACTACACAGTCGTAAGCTATTAAGTATTGGCTTACTTATAATAAGCTTTCAATCACTCTGAACTCAGAAGAAAACACAGGGTTAAAGAAGTAAAATTGTCGAAAAATGCGAGAAAAAATTGAATAATTGTGAAGTATGTAAAAACATGTATTTATGACAAAATATGTAAAATCAAATATAGGTCATTTTATCAAAAATCTTGTGAAATGTCGAGTGCTATTTAAGTATTATTACGCAATAATTTGAAGTTCTTACAGTGACGAAATATAGGTAAAATTTTCGTTATGGTTTTTACAACGAATCGTAGATAAAATGTAATACTACATTGCTAGATGTTACGAATTAAGTTTTAAAACGTATGGTTATAAATAATACCTATATTGCATATTTGCATGACTCGTAACTACTATTTTACGTGCGAATACTTATGAATTTTCGTTAAAATTTAAACTTCAGAGTTCAAACGCTTATTAAAAATAGTTGTGACATAACGCAATGAAATGGTGTGGGAAGGAATTTAATTTTGTGAAAAATCGGAGCTGTTTGGGATTTTATACTGCTATTTCATTTTTGTATAGCGGGAGCCGAACGGGCTTTGTCAAAAAATTATAAACCCACCTCCGATAAATAAGATTTTCAATTTTGTTATTGACTTTAAGCACTATATAAGAAATACCACTAGAGGTGTTAATATATATAATATAATACCTAAATAAATTATTTTTATATGAACAATAAGCTTTGAGCTATATATGTTTACTTTATTTATAGTACCTACCTATATGCTATAATTATGATTTTCATGTGATTTAGACACCATTATATTTGTGACTATAATTTATAATTATTTTATAATATTATAAATTTCTTAAAACTGTATTATACATTTAAGATGCTAATCTACCTACAAAGATATAAGCATTGTTATTAACTCTCAACCTCCAATACAATTCAAATTGCTTAAATGCGGTTGATAAACCATAATATTAATGTCCTAATAACTGTTAAAATGTTAATTTCTATAATAAATGGTATTCTATATTCAACTGGATAATGAAGTGGGGGTCTATCATTACTTGTTTGGTTTGACTAGTAACAAACACGGTCTTAACGTCAGCCGGCACATTCTTGGTAAGTTTTTCTCCTGCATCCTTGAGCTCCGTTGTCTCCTTTTCGCTCAGAAAATTTTTTATTACAACGTATCCATTTTGATCAAACTGTAAAAAATTTTAAACTTCATTAGTTTATACTGCCCTAATAAATAATAAACTGTATAACGTTAGTGTGTTGTAATCCGTATTGTATATTTACTTTTGATTTTAAATCTTCATAAATCATTTTATTCTCTTGAGGCATCGATTTCAACGTTTAACTGAAAATATAAATTAATTAAAATAATAAATTAATATCATCTCATATCTAAATACCGTAAATCGTATTGCAAATAATATTATATTGTACACAGTGCTTGAATAATGAATTAGAAACAAATTATAAAAATTATGCAGTATAAAAATAATTCGCGAACCTGAATATTTAAATGTCACATTGATTAGGATATAATTAAAAGGGGTACGCATAAATATATACACCAAAGAAGAGGGATTCCGTAGGTCCAACCCTCCCCCTTCCCGCGTCATCCGCTATTCAAGCACTACATTTGTTTAGTCTAGCAAGTTCCCAAATTTTTTTGACTTCATGGGGCGTCTCGAAACAGAGTCAAGGGAGCCGCGACATAGAAGAGAGAAGAGGAAAATGAGGACGGTGACGGCTAATATTATATTATTTTATTCTAAACCTAAAACATTTAATTTCAGTTTGCTATGCATAATTATTTTTGAATTTGTTGTCTAGATATAATTTATGCATAGATATTTGTAATATATTATATATTACTATAAATAATTAAATTTCGAGCGGGTCATGCCTGAAGAAAGCACGATTCGCTGATAAGAAAAGTACGAGAAGAAAACACAGTGGAAATAGGCAGACCTCATGGTAGATCGCGTTTAAGATGAGAAGATGGATGCGTTAGAAAATATGTTAAGACGGTGGAACCAAAATAAATAGTCATTGCAGGAATTAGCAGAAGATAGAGACAGGTGACAATATAAATATATAAAGTAAATACTTAGCTGTACGGTCTGAATGGCCGAAACCAAGCAAGATGAAAAAGCGAAAGAAGATAATATAATACTGTATAAATAACTGAACATTAAAACATTGTTTTTCTTTCTGTGTCCTTACTAATTTGAGAGCCACCAAAATGTTGTGAAGAGAGCACAAAGGAGCCGTGGAATGGAAAAGTTTGAATATCTCTGCACTATACACGCATCAATAACAGACTATACTCTGTTTCAAAAGTGATACCTAAGTGAATAAAATATTATACCGGTTAGCGACCGGTTTCTGTCCGGCGGCGCGCATCTCCCACATAACGACATAGGTGACCTATAGAAGGGGAAAATAGTGCATTGTAATTAATAGTAAAATTATTCACTTTTGGAAGTTTGGAACAGATTATTATCGGACCGAATAAACTATACTAAGGTCTAAGAGTTTGCACTGTTTACTGTCGAACAATAGCAATCTATGTATACAGAGTGTAACAGAAGAACTGACTATAATGTAATCACTTGTTATAAATAACAATGGTAAAAAATTTTTATTTCTAATTTATAAACATTTGAGATATATATTTTTAGTACTTATGATTTTTTTCTTTTTCATTTCTTGAAACTGAAAATTAGAGTTTCCAAAGAGCCAATTTGTAAATCTGGTAATAAGAACAATTTTTACATTTATCTATATCTTTATTTTTTAGAATTTTTTTAAATATCCTTATATTTTGGAGTAAATTAATTTAAAAAGTAATGACTTTTTTCAAAATAGTTTGAGAATTAATTTTTTGAGAATTTCCAGACGTAAGCACGTATATTTCTTAAATTATTTATTATCCATATAATTTTCACGGTTTTTGTCATTCGTTTAACTAGCATCAATTGTTCGGATCTTTCTGTAACACATTGTATACTTACGTCAATGGTGTACAAACTACAAGGTACAACGAAATTAGTGCTATAGCCCATAATCTTACGAACATATTATAATAATACATATGTGTATTACTATTTTCAAACAATCATAATACGACAGCCCATTGAACTTTGCTTTAATATAAAATGTTGTTTACCTATATATATAGATGAAACATAATCATACAAGTAGATATGATAACAGGCACTGTTGTATTTATAATAGATACGTGTTCATGGTTTTACATGACCTGCATATTGTATTATATTATTAATTATTAATTATTATATTATATAGCTATTTAAAGCTTTAACTTTAGCTTGTATTATCTCCAACGGTTATTGCTTATGTACCTTAAATTATATAACAGTGACGTAATTAAGAACTGGTTCTAGGGTGGGATATATGTTTTTATAATTGTAATAGTGGGGGGCTATCTTTTTAAACTAATGTCGATAAAAAATGTTTCACTCTGTCAAAAAACTTGAAAATGTAATAAAAGATTACCCGTAAGTTGTTGTTAGTGGAAATTACAAAAAAAAAGTTGAGCCTTAATCCACAATATTTTTTTATGAGCGGTTGAATTTAGAATTTTAACAAAACTTGTAAAAATGACAAAAATTTGCAAATTGTTTTGAGTTAAAAATTTTATATATACATGTTTCTTTTCATGTCTAAGATTTAAAAATTTTAATACGAGATTACTTATAAGTTTGTCTACTTTTATCAAAAATAAAAAATTTTACCGGAAAGTTAAATACAATTTTGATGACCCTTTGAAGTTGAAATGTTTTTGAAAACATTGGATATTCACTCGATTTTTCATGTAGCGATGATTTTTTTATTTTGTTGTAATTCAAAAACGAATAACTGCAGACCTTTGAAATTTATACCATATGTTGATACTTTATTTTATCAATTCATAAACTTGATAAAATGTTCAAAATATTGAAAATTAAAACAAGGCTCCTGATATATTGTTACAATATCAGTTGAAAAATATTAAAAATACATAGTCACGTTTTTGTTTTATAATCATTTAAAGTTAAAATGTCTTAAATTTGAAAATTGAAAAATGATTTTGTAGTTAAAAATTGTATAAATGTTCAACTTTTATAACTAAGAATTGAAAATTTAAAACAAGGTTCCATATATGTATGTAGTTAATTCTGTAACCAAAAAATCTAAAAATAAACATAAACGCAGCTTTTTTTTTATAGTTATTTTAAGTTCAAATTTAGAAGAAATTACATAGTAAGGCTAAATGTGAATGCGGGTATTATGCATGATAAGGGTGATTGGTAGTCGCTGGAGAGTATACACACACTAACGATCTTTTATTACACACTGTTCACAAAGACGAGCAGTGACCACAAGGAATGGACAATTTCATAAATACATCTCTTTAAAAATCACAACTTTTCAGAGCCGTTAACAACTATTAAAGAATCAATAGTGTTCTAATGGTCGCTTTGAAATTATTTGGTGGCACGTGGTTGGACAATTACATTTTAGTGAACCATTTAATTAGTACATTTTGTTTTTTTTTTATTCACTTTTAGTTTTACTATTAAAGATCAACAATATTATTATATAAAACAACATAACGAAATAACAATAAAATATTTTTAAAAACATACAAATAATTAAAACAACAATTAACTTAAAAGTAAATTCTATTAATACATTTTTATGTGACCTAACCTAAGACACAATAACACACAATAATATTATATAGATTCATTTATAAATTAAGCTAACCACGTGCATTCCATTGAAAGTTAAAAATGCCAATTCTATATGAGACTGGCTTGTGATAAAGAGAGCTGCAGTACATTATCAGATAGGTAATCCACCCTTGATTACCTATTATTTATATTGACTCAATATAAATAATATGTTTAATTTCTATTTATTTATTTTTATTTTGATTGCGGACACGCCGATGAGCGGCCGTAAGTGCAACTCTGCCACCTTGGTACGCAAAGTGCGAACATTCAATTTCATGCATAAATATAAATGACCTTTCTGATTGACAACCAATAGACAAAAAGAAATACTAATTTGTACTAAATATATTTATATTTCGCCTATAACCAATTGCAATCATTTATAAGCAAAAATAATGTCCTCCTTAAATGTCAAAAGGTTATGTTAAAAAAATTGAGGGTAGTGGTAGGAGGGTGAAGAATAATCAACCACCTATTCTCATACCTATCAAGTACCTATACAAAAATAATGTCATTCCAATCGGTCGCGACGTTTCGGAGGAGTGCAACACCCTGCAGTAATTTATTATAGTATGCACCTTGCACCCATACGAATTTATCTGTTGAGATTATAATATATTAATGTAGGCAGAGGGTGGTTGCTGTACCATATATTTCCGATAACGCTTCGGAGCGGAGAATCGCGTGGCGGCGGCGGCGGTCCGACGGAAAACTTTTGGGCAGCGGCATTGGCGAATCGCGATTCACGTCCGAACGGCGTGCAGTGTCACGCGCGTCTCGGTAGTCCGCTCATAAAGCCCGCCGCCTCCCAACCGTGTTTTCGGGGTGATGTCCGCCGCCGCGTTTACCAAGAACGTTTAGAACTATTCAACTCTATTATATTATTAACAATATTAATTTGTAAATAAATATTAAATATAAAAATGAATTGAAAAATTATATTATAAGACGCATATTATACCTCTCTAAACGTTGTACCGGCCGAAGCTGCAGAAGTCGTATAACCTATATAATATTAATATACCGAGTGATTCATTTAACTAAGGAAAGTCCTTCAAAAATCACAAATCGTGAAATACTAAAAAATACTTAAATTGAAAATATTATTATTTTGATAAATATATGTATACATAAATTTTTTTTTGTAAATGGCCATTTGGCAAATCACCTCTTGCCAGTGCCTAGCTACGGCCCCGCATACAGCAACAAAAACATCGGGGTCATCCTAAACGGCGGCGCAGCAAAACATGCGCCGGACGAATCTCTTCGTCCGGCTCCACATGTTGCGACGCCGTTTAGGACGGACAGAGTCGTGGACCAATTTCTGACCAGAGGCTTCATTACATTCCCCGACATTTGCCGGTTCCGGGGCGTTCGTCAGGTCGAAACTTATTCGCATATTGGGCGCCGACGACCATCGACCCCGCCCTGAACGGTCTCCTGCAAATTCGTCGAGCTCCCCGACCTCGGCCCATGTTGCTGGGAGTTCCGGCGCCGCCGGCTTCACGGACGCACACGACGAGGTGTCACTTCCGTTCTGCTTATCCGTCGACTCCACAGCACCGTTCTCCTGCAGCGAAGCGTCGTGTCCCGCGTACTTCGCAACAGACACTTCGCCGTGGTCCGGTGCATAGGCGTGCGCACGGGGGCAGCAGAGGCAGCATATGCTGCCCCTGGACTTTATTTGGGGCTACCGGGGCCGGCAAATATTAAATAATGGGCCTCGGTAAAATTATATTTCCACAAATGATTTTTTTTTTTTTTTTTTGGTCAAGTATAGATATGAATATTTTATGATTATAGAATTTATCAGTATAAAACTAATAAACCTGTCTACTATAAAAAGTGTACAACTGTTTATCCAAATAAACAAATAATCAATACAACTTTAATTTTGATACCTAATAGCAAAAATAGTAAAACTATGGGCTGGGTTTAATGGTGAATTTGAAGAATGGGCCGAATTAATCTCTTGCTGCCCCTGAAACCGGAGTCTGCGCACGCCTATGGTCCGGTGCAGGACTGCAGGATGGGTGCCCGTTGTGTTCCGGCACCTCGGGCAGTTCACGGTGAGGATTGCGGGGTTGCGCGACCGGCGTGGACAAACGCCGATGGATTTCGCAGTCTCCTGCCACGGCTGGCTGACGACGAATCCTGGCGGCCACGTTCGGCGAAGACGACTGTCTTCTCAACGCCGCCGGCCATGTTCCGACGCGTGGCGAAAACGTAGCCGGAATGTGGAACTTGACCGACCTCAACTCTTCGAATATCATTTGCATTTTTTCTCCTTCCGTCGTCTGCAGGTTAACAACGGATTTGTCGTTAGTAGCCACCGTAGACATATCAAATTATAATATGACTTAACTACTTCAGCGCGACAACGGTCAACGATATAAGTATATCGATTGATACTGCTGACGTACGGAACAATAGACGCAAGTAGACGATGTGAGGTAGCTTAGCTAGTGAGTATAGACGTATAGTGATCAATACGTCAAAACATACTTTGATGTTTTGTTGATTCTGTATCGGCTAGAAGAATATTAGGGACTCTATTAAATATTATTATGAATGTATTAATTTAAAATTTAAAAAAAAAAACCTTTTGATTGCATGGCCAAGACTAAAAATATCTAATTGATGATTTACTTGAATACCTAATTATAATTTGTGAAAATGTGAACTAAAGAATTATCTCAAACAGTGTGTTATTTATGTTTATCGATGGACACCCACACCTTATGGCTATTAATTATAGTCTATTAAAAATAAACAAAGTGCATTTCTAATTAATACTACTTGCCTTATAGGGCAATATGCACTTCGTTGTCCTTTAAAAATGCCAACTCTATATGAGACTCGCTTGTGATAATGTGAGCAGTATATTATCAAGTAGGCTGTCCACCTGTGGTGGATTGGTGGATTGTGGACCCCGCTAGGTGGCATTAGTAACACAAAGAATAACGATTTTAGTCATTTCGTTGTAATTCGGTTTCAAAACAGACCAATTTTACATAAGTATATACCGTGTGTCCCAAAAAGCAGGGGCCACTTTACCACTTATTACCATGTAAATATTTTCCAATTCTGCAGTTTGCGGGACATTAAACTAGACTAATGGATCGTAAATTTCTATGACTTACAATGTTTTTAACTCGTGTATATTTCGCATGCGCAATAAAACTTACATTTTTTTTTAAATGGCAACCCGCAATTTGAATATCATATTCGGGTTTACCGATTTTTTTCAAGCTATTTTGATGTATCAACTTTTGTCCTAAACCCAAAATTGACTAAACTAGAGCTGAGTAAAATTTAAAAAATTAAAAAATTAAATTAAATTAATTGTTTTTTCTAACTGTATGTACTTATTTTTTTCTTCTAAACACCATGAAACAAACAATCAAAATTATTATTATTTAACTAATTAACTATTTACTAATAACTAAAAAATTAAATGTTTGCAATGAATAGAAAACAATTACTGTGTCGTGTTTTTTTTTATTATTTCGATAATACCTATATAAAAAGGTATTTAAGTTTGGAAAAAGTAAAAATATCAGATTTTTAACAGTATTATAACTTTTGTCTTATTAATTATATAAAACAAATAAAAACTCTACGACACAGACAATATTATCTTTAATATTTTGTACACTTTTTGTCTTTGTCTACTAGGACTACAGACTGAGTGGTTTTATCCTGCGCAAAATAGTTTTTGATATGTTATATTATTATACAATGTACAGGTATAAGAAGCTACCTAATCTAGGGGCCAAACTCATCAACAAAACTACAACCAGTGTACCGACGCCTATCGATAATTCCAATAATAAACAAAAAATCAGCCATTCATAAAAAATGTTCAATCCTAATATACGAGTACAAGCAACTACTACTGAAATTAATTACTTATGCGTGCCCAATCTACACATTAAAAAAAATCCAAATATTTTAAAATAAAGTGTTAAGAATTATTACAAATCATCGTAAACGATGATGAAAATATTCATAAAGACCCCCAAATTGTTAAAATTGGAGACCACAACGCACCCTATCAAAAAATGCAAATAATTATCATCACTCAACTCAACAGGTTCGCTTCACTAAAATCTACATATTCATCCACCACTCCAACGACGACTAAAACTCGATCGCCCCTACGACCTCATTCGTTAAATTCTACCTCCAGTTTATGATTTGTTTATGTTGTATTGCTGTTGTATAATTTTGCATTTAATTATTTTTAATTATGTATAATTGTTTTAATTAATCATCTGTATATACATCTGTTAGTATATTTATATTTATAACTATCCTTTTAAAATAGCCACAAACGTATCCATGGATATAGATAGCCCGATAGCCATAGGCTAGGAATGTCTTATTTTATTAAATAAAAAAAAAAGTTTTTATTTTAAAATCTTTTAATATTTTTTATTAGTAAGTTCTCGCTAGAATTTGATTACATTTATTTAAAATAAAGGCTCTCAGGACTCAGGAGAATATATCCATATAAGTTATAATACCCAACCATTACAATAATATAGGTAGGTAGATCCTGAAATTAAATACTGAACACTCATTTTACCATGTTTCAATTCCTGATGAATGGTTGAATTTCAATCCAATGGTAATTGGTATACACGTAACGAATAACAATATAATATTTCAAAATAATACATAAATATCATCATTGACATATAAATCATTTATATGTCTATGGTTGAGTATGAATGTTATACATGATGTTAAGTAGTCGTCACAAATTAAAATATACTTTATTACGTATATTTTAATTCGTGGTAGTCATACACAAGGTGGATATATTATATCCACCTGGGTCATACAGTTAGTTGTACAATTCTAAAAAAGTAAAATAAAAATTTATGTAAATTTGACCTGGCAACACTGGATTATTGGCGGAGCCCTTCCATTCTTTATTATCTTTGGATGAGCTCACGGTGAAACGATAACAAACGGTGAACACATGGCTCGGTCGTCTCTTGACTAGTTGACTTTATGGTCTAAAAAGTACTTATAATCAGTAATTTCTATAATTAATATATTAAAGTCTTTACTCTATATTACATTACTACGATTAGTTTGTTTGAACAATTGTCATTTATTTTCACTGCGTATATCTATAACTTAATACTAAAATATTATTGTTTATTTATAATGTCAGAAAAAGAAGTATCGGTACGCGGTATGCCCAAATGTGGACGATTTTGGAAAACACCTAAAACCAAGTAGGTTGCAAACTTACTATACGTAGTCGTGAATAAATATCATTAATATAAAATGATTTCGGTTTGAGTTCACACTACACAGATATATTTTTATTGCTTAAGATTTTCGTCAATCAACAAAACAAAGGGTTTAAAATTGTCTTTTGAACGTAAACAAAAACTTAGAGAAGACATTAAAAAAACTAGAGAGTTGTCTAGAACTTTGATTAATGAAAGAAATGCAGAAAATGAAGCTAGGAAAGAACGACGACGTGAAAATATCAAACGACGTGCAGAAAATCAAAGGAAATCTGAAGTTGTTCAAGTGGTAATATATTTTTATTATTGGTTAATTTTTAAATATTTAGTTTTTTAACTATGTACCTACGTATAGATCCAGTTTATTTTTATTGGACTTTTTTTATCACTAAAATATAAAAATCAGCAGAAGAAAAAAGTCATCATTCACTGTTAATTATGATTAATATTTTAAATTATTAATTATTATTTTAGCTTATTTCAAAATAAATGTACCATGAACTACCTAGGTTAGGTATATTAATTTTGAAATTCATTTTATAGAATCAGCCTCGAATTGAGACATTGCGTCACTGAGTTTATTAGCTTAAAATATGAACTAGTCATTAGGATTTGGCCGTTATTTAAATATTTTTTTGATAAGGGAAATTAGTACAAATATTATTTAGTATAAAAAAAAAATTGAATCGAATAATTAAACCGTGCAATAATTGTAGCTGTAAATCACGATTAGAGATTTCAACATGCAAGGGGGGGACGGGCTGATACCTTACCTATCCGGTATAGAATGATTGACTTGTTAAAATATTTTTACATCAACATTCATTATCCTACTTGACAACATTCATCATCCTACTTGACAATTATTTATATTTGTATATAATTTTATTACATTAGCGGAATGAGTTCTGTTTTATTAAATAATAAACTATACAAGAGATTTTTATTTTTTTCAGATTAAGAACCCTGCCAAAATTAAGAGAATGAGGAAAAAGGCAATGAGGCAAATTGAAAAAAGAGATACATTAAATATCAAATAATATTCTCATTTTTGAAATATAATTAATTAACAATTGTAATATAAAATAAACTTTAAATATAATTTTTTTTATTTTATTAAAGACTTAATCAATGTACCAATGTTACCAGCTACGAGGCAACCTGTGATAATCATGTAATGAAGTTCACGCATTATTTATTTATATTAATCATACAATGTTAATCTGATATTATTCATTACCTAGTTCTGTACAGTTTAATACTTTATTGCTTTTCCCCATACAGTGTTGAATTTGATGATATTTAAATGAAAATGTACCAAGGTACTTTCGATTTTATGTCAATTACAAAATTCCAAAATATGTTAACATTTTAAAAATGTTTGATGGAATTTGGTTTGTTGCTTGTGAAATGACTAATCTTGTAAGAAATCTGCAATTACTTTTATTGGTGATATTCCTCGTGCAATCATGCATAACCTGTTGAAATTGTAGGTTTTCTACAACTATTTTCATTTTAATTTATAACAGGATTGCTTGTGCATTGTTTATATGTACTCATAAAACAACAACCACAAACACAAAATATAATTTTTTTTTTAAATTTCACAGTTCTCAATGAAGATGTACATTATTACAATATTTATTCTACACATAAAAACAATGTTTTTAGAGTAGTCAATTGTCTACCCTGTGCACAATATAGTTGTTTGCTACCGCTGATATATTTACTCAAATTTATATTTATATTTTGTATCAATAAAATGATGATATAGTCTTAGTATGACAGTTCAGTTACTACTTACTTCATACTCCTAAAATGGATATAGAGAACTAAAAACAAATATAATAAAAGTGTATGCAAGTTGAGTGTAAGTTAGTGATATTTATGATTTTCACTTTCTAAATGAATCAGACAACATAGTAACTACACAGCAAGGGTTTCATTGAAAGTTAAGCTTGGATGTGTGATATTTGATTATTTTTAGTGTTAAATTCACATCTAAACATTTTTTAATAACAGTTACAAGTTTGCCCTTAATAAAAATAATAGGGAGAAAAAAACTACATTTGGAAATAAAAATAATTTGCTACAATTGGAGTACCAATTAGAAAATTAGTCTTTATAGGATGTGTAAAAACAAAAAAAATATAAAACATAATAATAATGCAATTTATTGAATATAAGTTATAATAGGATAACAGTAAAAACAATAATAAATTATTATATTAATTTTAAATCATACCACAGCAAAAGCTATTGGAAAACATAAATAAAGGGATTGTTAATTTTATCTGGAAAAAAAAAATTTTAAAAAACATAACAACAAAGAATTAATTTAAAATGTTAACATGAAGTAGGTACATACATAAATTATACTTAATTACTTATTATTATGTGTCTTGGGCATCATGTTTTTCCACCATGACAAAATCATTACCACTGTGCGACTGCTGGCTACTTGATTCAGTATCAGTTGAAGAGGAATCTTCAGAACATCTATTTACAAAAATCAGAAAATTATTAATATTAAACTATAAGTAAACATTTTTAATAACAGTATAAGTATTAATAAAAACTTTTTCAAAATAAGTTACCCAAAATATAAATTAAAAAATTTGAACTAAGGTCTCATATAAAATTGTAATAAAAATGCATTTCTATGTTATTAGATATGTGTTGAGCTTTAAGACACTTAAACGTGTGTAAGAATAAATCAGAAAAGAAAAAATATTTTGCGATATCGGTCATTGGTGTTATTGTGTTGAATTTTTAAGTGCTTTATTGTGTAAATATTAAAACGTAATCAGTATATACTATAATACATACAAACTTATATTGATTCCACGTTACTGTTTTTTATTCAGTTGGTCACCCATATTCTCACATATATTTGCTAATTTTTATTAAGTGGCAAATATATGTACACAATATGTGGTCTTTAATTATAATTAATTAAAACTAACAAAATATCCAACTATCAAGCAGATATCACTAACAATTAATAATAAAATTTAAAATAACCTACAAACAATGGTTTTAGAAAATGTATTAGTTTTCTTTTTTTTATTTCAATTGCTTTAAGAGTATTTAGGGAAGTATTATGAAGCATGAATATATTGAAAGTATAAACGTTTTGAACGTAATTAGAATTTTTCATATTTGGGCTATCTTAATTATTAATTAAATTTCAGTCAATGAACTATCATAATTTATCATTTTGTAAAACTTGTGTATAAAAATGTCTACTTTGGATTTTCAAATTGCCCAGATTCTGTATCTAATAATGTGTTGTCATGTTCAAATGTTTCAGTTTCAGGAACCTTTTCGTCGATTTCAGATTCTGAAGATTTTTTTTCTTCATCACAATCATCCAGTTTTTTATCATCTTCATCCTCATCATCTGATAATTTCTCCTTTTTTTTCTTTCCCTTTTTAGCACTTTTTTTATAGAATACACTATACTAAAATATGAACAATACAAATTGCATAAATAATTGTATTTATTTACCAAAAGTATAGAAGTATAGAATTGGTTGTTTGTACATACTGTATAAATGGGCCAAAATGAAGCAAAGAAGCCAACATCTTCTGTTAAATTTGGGAATAGCCAAAAATGTAATTTGCCTGTTGTCAATATCCAAAGCAAACTGAATAAGACTAATCTAAGAATGGCCAAAACAATAATGAATATAAGGAATCCTGCCGCTGCTATACTTAAGTACTGCACACCCATTCTGAAATAAATTAATAAAAATAAATCATGCGTTTAACAAGGTAGATAGTAACAAATAATGAATAGTTATTACATCACTGAATAACTGCATATACAATTAATTTTCTTACCTCACTTGTGGTGGCCATAATGGGAATAAACAAATTCCAATTCCTCCAAATACAATGAATGTTCCTATTACCCAATAATAAAATGGAATAGGATCATAAATCCAAACATATGCATCCAAATTGTCAACAAATGATTGTTCCATATGCATTTCTAAACGTATTTTACGACTTTTTTTTTTCCGTTCAATCTGTTAACACAGACAAATATTTCAACTTTAGGATGTAGTTAGGTAACTTAGTTTGACGTTACATTTTACTTTTTATAAAAGAATGTTATAGATTTAACTTGTATTATACATGCATATTTTAAAAACTTCTAACTATAGATTAGAACCTCCAACTATAAAACAATGCATTTTTGATAAGCAATAGGGATTATCAAGCAAATCCCATAAAGTATCTAAGTAATCTCTAGACAAGCAGAACAAAAAGACTAAATGAGATATAATTTTTTTTTAAATTATGCATACAACAATAATTGTTGTTAAGCTGTTGTTCATTAAGCTGTCCAGTAACATAATATTTCATCGCATATATAAGAATAATTATATATTCCTAAGGGCTCTCATCAGGGGGAGACATGTCACCCATTAGACTAATGTGAAATGATGGTAATTTTTTTAATTGTAAATAGCTAACTATTTTGAGTATTTTTACTGATGATATTATATTACATGATATATTACATAGGTGCATAATTTATTCATGATGATTTTTTTCATTTTCTGTAATTTAATAAAAGCAATTTTGTTATTAGTTAGTTTTTTTTCATGATATTGTCACCCTGCTATGTTCTGATCGATGGTCTATTCTTTAATTGTGTGAAACTTTTTTTTAAAAATTCTTTATAGGTACATTATTATTGATTACAACACTATTAAATTGTTTGTACTGGGCAAATATATCAAGCCAAAATAATCATGGTAACCACCACTCAATTCAACTTATTTTGAAAAATAATAAGCACAGGTGGTTTGTATATTATACAGTTTTACTGCTGTGTATTACCAATATATTAGAGGTGAGAGGTTTGTAGAACATTTGCTCACCGCATTGTATAATAATTTTAATTTTCTATAAAGCAACAAATGATAATCATGAATGAAATCACTTTAGTATCAGTTACTTTTATGGTAAATTCTATTAAAGGGTTTGGGTGGGTAAAGGGAATGTGTTTTATAGTTTACACCACTCATGCCAGATTGTATAAAAAGTGTACTAGTTGCATGGGCCACTAGGTCATGAATAAGGGATCAATTAGCTCACTTATGTTTACTAGGTATTTTTTAATACAATCAAACATTGTATAATACTTTTAAATCGATATGTTTCAGTAAGATACCAACTACTTTATGATATAGTAAGGTAAATATAATATAATATATATTATAAATGCCTACCTATAGATAAAACATAATCTTACTTCAGTGGATTTGATTTTATCATCATCAATTTTATCATCTTTACTAGTTTCTTCGCTTTCATCATCTTTCTTATCTTTTTTCTTTTTATCTGTTTTTTTCTTCTCATCTTTATCAGTATCATTTGACTTTTTGGATTTCTTATTTTTCATAGCTTTTAGTTCCTGATCAGATATCGGCACTTTCTTGGCACGGTGATAAAACTGATGCTTCAACATTCTAGGAAGGAAATAAAGTAACTAAGTATACAAGATAACATCAACAAAGTAACATCAACAAATATCGTACAAGTCCAAAAAAGTTTCGATCTCCTGTCTGGTAGTGAACAATTTCTCACTGGTTGCCCATTTTGATTCCAATAGACTGTCAACAGCTTTGCTACCTGTAAGCATAAAATAAAAATCAATTAACCTGTCATTTCACATATACATGCAGTGAACGTTCCGTCATCAACACAGACCTGTAAAGTACTCGACATTGTGTCCGGCAAATTTTGTCTTTTTGTGTGGAGCGTGCTTGCGCAACCAGGCAGCCACAGAGTACTCGGTTTTGCTCGGTTTATCAGCTGCGGCCTCAGGGTCCAAGCTGTACTCCTGAAAAACAAATACCACACATTAACTGACTGAACCCAACGTCGATCCTGGCTACGCGACTTCAATAACACGCAACTCAATGCAGACGTCATTATAATTAGTGTCGTCGTGACAGCAACTCACCTCATCACGTCGCCGTTTGCCTTTTCTCTTCTCGGCCATTATGCACGGGCGGTTGTACCTCTTTCACCTGAAAGACCGACACATCCACCAAACGATAAACTAGAAGTCTACAAACGTCACCTATTACACAGCACAGCTGCTGCTGACACGTCGTATCCACAGTCGCAGACCGTTATTGGTGAGTGCTAAGAATTGAAAACGGAGAAAAGTACAACAACAAAAACAGAGAGCGGAAGACACGTAATTTGTCGTTGAACAGATACTCGGTTTAATGTTTATTGACGAGTCAGTATTTTATTGTCTCATCGTTTCGATAATGGACGGCCGTCGCCACCGTGGACTGAGTCGCGTTGACTAGGGCACTGCGACGCGTAAAATTGTGGCAACTAAAAATCCCGTTGATTGACCGAGTTATTTGTTTTGCTTTTTGCTGTCCGTCTGCCACGCGATACAGTGCCGACACGAAAGCGATCCAAAACATTCCGGTGGTCCGGAAGTCGGCCTGGCGCTAGCGCGACCATGATAACCACGAACATAGTATCATACCACAGATTATTCCATATAGTAATAGTTTATAGGTATAGACATCCGCGAATTTTACTTTCCTATTACCACAGATATATAGAATATCGTTTATTCTATATATCTGTGCCTATTACCGTAGAACAATTATTACCAATTGCTATTATCAGATTACAGAATTTCATAGTTGGGTAAAAAACTCATACAAATTAAATGTTGTATTAAGTATCGAAATACTTTTAATACTCGAATACCTACTTATTAAAAATAATATTTCGAATATTATGTATTCGAATAGGTAGATATTCAAGACACTGTTGAAATATTTTTTGGCTTGGATTAGAAGTACAACGAGTACCTAGGTACTTGGAATATATGAAATTATACCCGATTTTAAAGTATATTGTAGGGTATTTGTGTTTAAAAACATACTATATATATATTATTTTATCTGATAATTTATGGTTTAAAACAGACCAATAAATATTAAATTCTGTTAGCTATTAAAGCTATCAATTTAATTTGAATACCAGGTACCTATATATTATTTATTTATAAAAGTGTTCTAAATAAAGCATTCGGAAATATTTAATATCTATTGTGAAATAGTAATCTAAAATTATTCCAAATAATTCAAATACTGTATTCGGAATACTCTCCATTAAACATGTCTGATTATTATTAGGTAAATGTGTCCTACATTTGTCATATCCAGAAACATAATATCGTCATTTAATATTTATGTATGTTAATTTAAATTCTTAGCGAAGTTATGAAAGTATTGATTTTACAATAATGTATTTTTTTGTGTATGTGCAAGAATTCAATACTCAAGCAGTCGAAAATCAAAATAATGCTTCGAATTTCAACTTCAGTATCTTTTTTGGTAAGAATGTGAATCTAGTTTTTGAGTTTGAGAGGTCAAGGTTACTTTCCACTTCCCAGTAATTTTCAAAGGCGTCAGAAACAAAAATAAATGAAGGAAAGACAAAACATTTTACGCAAAACCAGTTTTTGACTTAATCAATTTTGTTTTTTTGATTTAACTAAAAAAAATGTTTAGACTTTACTTTAAGATTCTAAAAGGAATGAGAATGTGTTCATGGTTCTTCATAACTCAAAAGTAGTTATTAGCTAATAGCTAGTGTAGTTAGAAAAAAAATTAAGGTTAAATTTACAATAGTTTTTTTGAAGTCTGAAGTTCAAATATTTCAACATTGGATATTCAACTATGAAAATAATAATAATAATAATAAATAATAATTTCTCACACCGAACAATATTTTTATTTTGACGTAATTCAAAAAAGAATAACTGTAATATAGATACTTGAAATTTCACCAAATTTGTGTATTAAAATTTTCCATACTCGGTATAAATATAAAAAACATCTTGAATGTTTTTCAGTTATTTATATATAAGTTTATAAATTATAAATATAATCATTTTCAAGTTTCAATTTTTTCTTATTAATGTCAGTAAAAAAATAACCACCTTGTCAAAAAGCTTGACAATCTAATACAAGGTTCGTCATAAGGTTGTATGATGGCGGATTTAAAACTATTAAAGATACGTAGGAACAGTTTTTTTTGTTATTAATTTCAGTGATTTTTGATGAGAATGTTGAATTTGTACATTGGTTATCTCTTCGTAATTTGGTTAAAGCTAAGTTGTAGATAGGTATATAAAAATTCCTTTTTTAATTGAGAATTTATTAGTGTATTTCTGTCATTATTTTTGATAAAAGTCATCCTAAGAAAACTTTTTTCACATAATAATATGTAGATATGTACTATGTAGAGTAAAATCTACAAACCAATCTAAATGTCAGTATCTGGTCGTTCTTTGTTACTCATTTCAAAAATACTACTGCGAAATAAATTACTGGTTAACACGGCGTTTATAACACAACTAACTTTATTATAGTATTTATAGAATTAAGAAATGCATACTTAAAAATTGTTACGAAACAAGAATAATAATTGGGAAATTTGTCTACTTTAGTCATAATTTACCCAATGATTAAATTACTTATTACATTCGATTTTAAAGACTATAAAGGCAATATGCATTTATGATTAAATATCGTTGGAAAAATAGGCTCCTAGATAGAAGCATAGAATCTATGCCTAAAATTTGTCTTCATCGTATTCAATGATTTATTATTGAATTTAAATATAACTCATTCGTTACACTCATTACCGACTATGGTGACTACCTCAATGACGACGTATAAGGTATATTATTGAGTATACCGACAACTACAATACGGCAAAGATTAGTTTCTTGAGTACTTAAACTTTAAAGTATTTATCTTAAGTGTTTGATTAGTCCATATAGTTTTTAATATTTTTTCATTGCACCAATGCTTAAGTTACTAGTTAGTAACTACACTTACTAGGTAGTATTATACCTAGTAAATTCATAATATTTTCAATTTCATAATTATAATTTAGGTGTAAGTAAATCTGTGGTCTGTGTTTGGAATTAATTGAATAATAGAAAAAAAATCTTCATATAGAAATGCAAAACACAGATTAGTGGCGCTTTCGTAATGTTCTTATTTAGTTACAAGGTTTGGTTAAAATTAATTTCTGGTACATCCGTGTTCACCCATCCTATTTAAAAAAAAAATTGCTGTCCATAGTTTTTACTTTTACAATCCTGTATGGCTGTATTTAATTATTCAAAGTTCGAGCTGTCGCATCTACCATAGTAATTTTGAATTTATAAACGCGCGCTCGGAGAATCGACTGCAACGGTCGCCCACTTAACCCGCAAGATAGCGTATTATATATGAATATGATTCTTGTTATTAGTTTAATTTTCGGGTTTTCGATTTTTAGTTTGTTGAAACGGCTTATGACAATATCAGTTGAACAGATGACAGCCCTCTTTAGTTGTTACGACGTAACAATCCGTTGATTCTAAAATAAACAAACTAATAACTATATTGCCATTCGACATGTACTTATGTGGCATGTGTAACCTGTTATCAGTCAGTATCGTATGTTTAGGTATATTTTCTTAAAATAAAAAAAGGTGAACTAGGAAACATATTTTTATTGAAATGTACCTAGGATTTGTTGAAGGGTTTGTAACGGTATGAATTACATATACAGTATTATAATCAGAGAAAACCTAATAAATTATTCGTTACTTATTAATCATTCTAAATTAAACAGTGAAATACGATGAAGGAAGGAAAATCGGGCTTGATACAATCTGTAGGTATCTCATTATTTAAAAAAAATAGGTGTTTTTAGCTTATTATTAATACAATTATTATAATTTATTTAATAATTTGAATATTTCATATTTATTTTTATTTAATTTAATAATTTGGTGGCTTTGTTGAATGAATAAGAATATGACTTTTAATAAATTAAATTTATTTAAGTAGTTAGAGTTATAAGTAAATAGAGGATTATTAGATTATTAAAAGTTTAAAATATGATTCTAATATGCTATTTTTTACTTACAATAATTTAAAAATCTGTAATGAGTTGCAATAGAAATATATTATGTAAAATAAATAACATAAGTTAACATTCAACTTTATTCATTTGTAATATTATTTTTAAAATTCATTTATTGTACAATATAGAACAATTTCTATCATTTTTCATTTTTAAATAAAAAACGTTTTTTTCTCGTGTGACAAAATATTTCAACTAGATAAATGAATAAATACTAAATAGGTATGGCTTTTTATGAACAATATGTATAATATAATATTTTTAAATATGAAATATATTCTGAATATTATTTAATATTTAAAATATGCCGTAATATGTAAAATAATTTTCTATGAATTCTATACTGAATAAGTTGTAAAGATTATTTACTCCTGTCGAGCTGCGCAAAGCCAAACAATTTATGTAAAAACCTAAAAATCAGATCTTTAGTTATATAAGTTATTTTAATTAAGTTATTAATTGATATGGCCCAATTTCCGGTATATTCTTTGAATATTACATATTTTTGCTGAGGCCCAATAACTGGGTAAGTAATGAATTAATATAAAAATACCTAATACACAGAACAGGTAGATAAAATGTAGCACAATTGCCAACAGTGGCGTCACGAACATTTTATTCTTAGGGACAAATACTGAAGCTATTCGTAAGTCGTAACCCACCCACCCACATATAGAACTAAAACCTGCTGATGCATATATTTTTTTTAATTATAAAATAAATATTGATATTATTTTACTATATCAATTAATATTAATGTATTAAGTTACCTAATATTGAACCTATGTTCTTTTAACAAATTTCACGTTGGCAGGTTAGTAAACTATTTTAATATATTAAAAAATAACAATATTAAGAAAATATAAATATCATATTAGTAAAACATAAATTATTCTACATAATATGACTACTAGACTACTTATGAGTATAATAACCTAGTTAACATAACGTGAAAAATATTCCTCACTCAAAAACGTACTTGTAAGAAGGGGAACTAGTGCGGTTTATTTCTTGTCCCAATATCAATCTGCGGAACTTTGCAATCTACTAAATTGACTCCGTTTACCTTAACAAACTATATAAAATAATTTATAGTTAATTATAAACATTAATTATAAAATGTATACAACATGTTTTAATATAATTTATTATTGTCATTTAAGTAATTTAATATCTGGCTAATAATCCATGAAAATAAAAGAGGTGCCAACGTATACACTGCCACCTTTTCATCTTTTCTTTAGCTTACTCCTCCTACAGGTTTCATAGTGTAATAAAATTGATATTATCCCAGAAGAGCCACATTCCTGTTAAAAAAAAACATAAAGGTCGACCCAAGACTCATATAATCAAAACGTTTGTTTTTTTTTAAATTTTAAATTAATGTATTTGCAACAATATTTAATAGTGTTCC